GCTCGCCGCGCGAGCAACTGGTCAATGTGTGCTTCCCAAAACAAATTTTCTTGCAAAGCAATCCCTAAATATCCTAAATATGTGTAAGTCTTGACACGAGGCAAAAGCTGGCCCTGGCCACCTAAAAAGGCAAAAAAGGGTGCAGGAGCGCGTCAACGACCGCGACCTATAACCATGACTGCGGACTTCTTCCGCCCGACCCCCAAAGTGAAATCGCCAAGACATGACCCAAGCATGGGCTGTGTCAAAAGCTCGCTGCAGGTCGGCAGGGTTGTCACTAAAAATTGCTAGATCATCTGCGTGTAAAAGAAATTTGACCACGACATGTTGACCAGAGGAACCACAAGATCCCCCATTGCATGCACGCTTGATCAAAAGAAAAAGAAAGCCACTCAGAACTGCCCTTTGGCCAGTCCCATCCTCCACTTCCACATGTGTCCGAGATCCGCGAGTCCAGACGCACAGCCGCCGAACGATCCGACACCAAGCCGTTGATTATTAAATGAGAGTTGTTCGAAACCCCCTGCTCTTGCGACGTAGGACTACAAAGACGATTTATTCATAAGACCACTCTTGAAAAAACCTTCCGAACATGGTGCGCGCGCAAGGGCAGGCGCAAGAGCGCGCGGGGGCATGCTTAATGTATCTATACAAATACAAAGCCATCTACATGAGAACTTCGTGGTAGACCCGATTGGTTTTGAAAGGAGCGCGGTCCACTAAAGACATTTAATGCGCTGCCAACGTTAATGGGGACCCTCCGCTCCTCTGCGAGGATAGCGGGTCCTCGTCGACTCCGCCGTCCCTCCCCCACCCGCGCGCCATGCAAGCCGTGCAAGCCATGCAGCTTGCTCGCACTACGCCGCCGGGAGAACTTTAATTACGACGCTCGAACATGGCGATGTGCTGCGATACCACACTGGTGTCGACGCTCACACGCACCGGACAGCCGTTTGGCCCGGTTCCTCGTCATGTCCCTCAACCCACCGTACTGCGTACACCTACTGCTTTACGGCGCTGGGCGCAAGGGCAGGCGGTTCGGCCCCTCGGCCTCGGCCGAGGAGGCGGTCGCACGGGCTGCATGCGGTGGCAGCGGCCACGGCCTGCTGAGGGCAGCCTGCTGCGGCCACGGCCTGCTGAGGGCAGCCTGCTGCGGAAAATGTTTTGCATGCTCCCTTTCTGCGGCGCATAGTACACGTGTCCTCATGGTCGCATGGGCAGGCGGCTAACCACCGCGCTTATGCCCGGCTCCAGGACGTGGTCCAGCGGCGGTGGCATTTATTCTCCACCATGGTTGCGTCCACTGGGTGCGAGCGTCCCGGAGCAAGCAGCGCGTGTGTCGTCATGGAATCTCACTGAAGCATCCGCCAACCTCGCTCCCAAAAAGTCTCTGTTTTTTGTCTCTGCGGCACTTCGCGCCGGAGTTCCGGGTGGGTAGCGAGCGGTTCGCGGTGCTCTGCTGTCCGGAGGGCGGTGCTGTTCGCGCAGACATGAACATGTACGAACTTGCGCGTAGTATCTCCCGCGACGCTTACGCAAATTTCCACGTCCCAGCACTAGGCTCACTAGGCCCCGGGCGAGCTGCAGTTGCAAAAGGGCGTGCGAAGAAAAAAAACCCAAAAAATGAAGTACACAGCGACGCACGTTGCATCGAAGTCGTTGCAAACGGCTTACCCCTCTGGCACGGGGCACAACTCGCTATCGACGCCACTATCGTCTGCCCGGTTACACGGGCTGGCATGCCGCAGCCGGGAACGGACGCCCGCCCCGGGGCAGCAGTGCAGGCCGCCGCTCGCCGAAAGCGGCGCCAAACGTACCCCGAGCTTTGCGAGCGCACGGCGCGCGCAGCTCGTCGTCGTCGGGTCGAGGTAGGAGCGCGCTTTGGTGCCGAAGCCGCCTCCTTCCTCCGCCACCTTGCGCGCCACCGCGCTGCGAGTCTCCCACCCCCACTCCAGGCCGCCGCGAGCGAAACTGTCGAGTTCGACGCGTGAGCCCACAGCGCGCGCCTCCCTGTTCCCCACCCTCGCCTTGCGCGATGGCGCACATGCAGGAGCGGGCAGGTCCGTAGAAGTGATGGGCGTAAGGAGCGGGTGGACCACAGGCCGTGCAAGAAGGCCAGACCGGCTCCTCGGCGCAATAGAGGGACTCGGGCACTCGATGCAAGAACCCGACCGCGTCCTCAACGCATAAAGTGGCGGCAAGAAGGGGTCACCCCGCCCCCAGCCCGGAGCGCCCCTCACAGTCAACCCGTAGAACTGACGGGCGAAAATGGAAGCATGGTTTGCTTGGAGACGTGAGACGTGTCAAAGGCACCTACGGCATCGAGTGCGTGAGTTGCACGGTTAGTACGTGTCGGGCCAGGGTGTATGCAACCAGGCGGCGGAAAACGTCGCCAACGACGAGTGCTCGCACGCGGCCATGGGCTTGTACAGCACGACATGCTCGGTGCAGGATTAACTGGTCTGAGGCTTTAGCTTTTGTGTCTGAGGCTTGGGGGTTGGGGGTGGTAAAGCCTTATCGAAAGGGTTTAAGGATGGTTTAAAGGTTATGGCCCCTTTCTTATTCACCGGACCCCTTGTGTAGATCTGTATGCTCTTGCACCGGGACCCGGGCCCGGCCGAATATTACCATTCCCACCCCAGCTATTTAGTCATGATACGTTCAGGTTACCCCACATGCTCCCGGTCTGCGCATTAGGACTTTGGACATGGTTCTGCCCCGCGCATTAGGATTTTGGACGTGGTTCTGGCCCGCCAATTTTCGACGTGGTTCTGGGTCGCGCGTTAGGATTCTCAGAAAAAATGGAAGGACTTCTGCCGGAACCAAGTCAGAAAACTTAAGTTTTTATAAGGGTGCTGGGCCCTGGGTGTCGAGAAACTTAGCCAGGGGAAACCTTCAGAATTCTATTGGAACCAAGTGGAAATCTCCACCCCCTGCTTGGCTGCTAAATTCAATGTGGTTTTGGAACGTGCCTCCAGATACATGCGAAACCTCTCGTCGGGTACCAATTCCAAAAACGCTCTGCGCACGTTTCTCAAGTTCTGCACACTACTAGACATGATCGTGATTCTTAAGTTGTTAAGTCTCGGAAATTGTCTTTCGTCACATCTTCATGAAGAAAACTAAGAAACCCGATTGGTTTCATGAAACCTGATGGGCTACTGAAGCCAAGCATCTAGGTATGTTTTGATGGTGTTTTTTCGCATGTTTCTTGGAATCGCGTTTGTAATGTTCAGCCGGCCCCGGGGTCCCGGTCCAAGAGCATTTCAATTCGCAGAAGGTTCATATGTCTAAACAGATCTATGCAAGGGGATTCGGTGAGAATAAGAAAGGGGTGACAATTGCAAAATTCGGCTGGCCAGGAATCCAAAATGTTACTGCAGATAGCTGAAGAGTCCACATGTAGAGAAACTGTTTCATCAGAGCTGGCCAGAAACAGCTCCAGAAGCTCCGGCTTCGGTTTTTAGACATGCAGATCTCGCTTGCCGTGAAAGACCAGGAAGCCTCAAGCTTCAGATGTCAGCATGATTTCAGCCTTCAGGTCCTGGATTCCCGGAAGCTCTCAGTGATCGCAAAGCAGGGCTCGACAACAAATGCGGCAAGCCCCGTAACCCTTAAAACCTTTCGACAAGATACCACCACCCCCAAGCTGGCTGGGTGCACATTGCAAGGCCAATGACTTTCGCCGAAATTCCGCGTCGAGATCGGTGCCATACAACTCCAGGCCGCGCCGCATCGCGGCAGTCGCGTGTTTCGGCAACCGACTCATGGCCGGAGTCGGCGAGCTCTGTGGCGGCATCTGCGTTGCAACCCGTGCGCTGGGCTAACGCAAGCATGGGCACAGGTGCGGGCACTCGCACCCGGAACACATCCGAGTCACACTCTGGGAAGCGATTCGTTCGTCCGTGCCTTTTCCGCTCAGTGCTGCCTGAGTCCGGTTGCAGTAGGCTAGGCTGCCGACCTTGATCACTGCCAATCTCACGACAAAAACCTTTCTGGCGCGGCTGTGCGCTTGGGATGGATCGTCCGGCACCTTGCGACTGCCGCTGGTTACGTCACGGCGGGCCCGCAAGAAGTGTGTCTGCAGCTTTTCGGAGGCGTGGCATGTGTTGGGGCTCCGAGAGCAACACCTCTGCAGCGTGTGACAATGCGCGGGGAACGGGAACGACTTTAAGAATCACATGGATCACGCAAGCCGCAAGCAAACGAGAGCGGGGAACTAGCGCGGACTGGCTGCTTGACACGCTTGCCTGAGAGGATCCTGAGAGGGCCTCGGACAATAGGTGGCCGCAGGCTGCATGCAGGAGCGTAACTAAGAGCCAGGAATTGTGTGCGAGTGTGGGTGACCTGGTGGCGGGCCAATAAATCCACACCTGCTTCAGGCATCCCGGCGCACCCCCACAATGGACGACGAAACGGCGAGGCGACCAACCCAGGCCCAGGTGACCACGTCCGACTGAAACGGCAACACACTCAGCCAGCACGCTCCTCACGCGTCACCTTGTGAGGTCCACGAACGGGTTGCCCGCCTCTGGGGGCGGCGCCGACTGAACCAGGTGAGGCCACTCCAGGGTTCACACCGTCACCGTCGGGTTCGCCATCGTCGCTGCCCGCCCCGCCGAGACGCTCGCCCACCGACCGAAGCGCGAGGCGAGCCGTGCTCGTGACTCGTGGCTGCACTGGGCAGCGCAGCCCGCAGCTGGCATTTACGACGAGGAGTACCAGCCGGTATCCTGAACCTGCGATTCAACGCGGTATCGTATCGAACAGCCCCTGCGCTACATGCGCGTGAGCATGCGCAAATTTGTTGGCATTTTTGCATTACATACAGTAAGTGTTAGCGGGGGAGACATTTTCACATTCGATGGGCCAGATTCGGTAATTTCGGTAGAGCATTGCAGCTTGAACATGTTTACTATAAAGTTTGCTACCATAGCGGAGGTCTTCGGGTAGTTCAGCTACAGTACAGAAGGAACTTTTCCATGCGGTTGCTCAGCATTTTAAGCCGCAAATGCATCCAGTGCAATGTGGAGGACACCCCACCTCAGCTGCTCACACAGCAGGGCAAGCTTGACAAAAAAAGGTAACAGTCACTTTTGCTGGCACAAATCGGGAGCCAGACAGCGGCCACCTTGTACTCAACGCCAGGTCCAACTCGGCACCGCTGCCGATGACCTAAACAGGCGACACAGAGTTCGCCATGGAGGCAATGAGCCGCCATAGTGCCATCACACTTCTTATTAGATGCTCGATGCATCTAACTGAGATTACAGCCTGCTTGAGAGCCCGCTGGAAAACCTCCAAAAGCTGGAGCCTTTCCTCACGGCGCAATGCAGCATCAAGCCACGGAGATCCAAGCCAAGCTGTGCAGTGCCCCAGTTTCCTGCGCGTCTGGAGACGCCATGGCCTGAACGTGGAGCTTAACGTTGAAAGCAACCCAAGCATATGCATCTACTCAGGCTTCTCAACTGGTATTTTGTGAATCTTTCAGGATGCTTCAAGTGTATTTTCGCCGAAACGAGCCTGCGTCGCCAGCGCCGTGAGAGGTGCCAACGCGCTCTGTCCCTGACAAGATGCTGGGTTGGATGATGTTGGCATGCGCCCTACTGCCCTACTGTGCTGAAAATCATTCGAGTGGTGCGTAAGTCGTGTGTAGTCGTGTGTCGAATCGGCCTGCGGAGTCGCCGACAGGTATCGAGACGCTGCATCCTGGGCTGCCTGCGTGGACTGTACAGGATTGTGCACGGCCCTGCGCTTCGCTGAGAAACTCTAAGAGTTCAACAGCTGTTTACACCAACTTGTGTCTGACACATCAGACTAGTACATAACACAGCCATGCCCCGCCGCTCCATCTTTGGCAGCTAAAGCTGCAAGAAGCTGCGCCTGAAGATGTGCCACCAACTCTGGGAGAACATCTTTTGACTGGGCATGGGCGAGCTCAACAGTACGATGATGTACAAATATGTACAATGCAAGCCTGGAACTGCCGGCCAGCCATATCATCCAAACCGTCCACTCGCTCATCGTTGACGGCCTTTCTCCGCAACGAGGCATATATGGTCGCTTGCAAGCCGCGGCTGTGAACATGCTTTGTTTGTTTGCGGCATATTCTGGTGATTAACGCAGAAGAAATCAACTCTGAGCTCATGTCTCCCATCTGTTGTTTTCGCAGGTTTATCTGCGACAGCCTGACGTAAACAATGCCCCAAAGCACGGTCTCTGGTGAACGCGCAGAAGCTAAGTGCGAGGCAAAGCAATTACAGGCCACCCAGTCTGGGCCAAGGCTACCTTCCAGGTAAAAAAACGAAACCAAACAGGCGCACCTCCAGATTAAAACAAAGAAAAACAAATACTGCTCCTGCTTCAAACAGGGCACCAACGGCATGTCAAGCAGCATGGTAAGCACCTCAGTACACAAACGAGGTACCACGCTGTCCCTCCCCACCAAACTACCCAAATTTGGAAACCCCGTTCTCTTCAGCCTCGGCCTTTGAGCCGCCCATTACGCCTTAAACACAGATGCCCTCGAGAAAGTCCCAACATCCCCATTGAAGCGCTGCCAAAAAAGTACGTTTCGCTGACCGTCCCCATCTAAAACTACTACAAGAAGCCATAACAAGCATCTCCCTGCCCTTGACAGCCGGACTAGGCAGGACAGCACAATTCTCCATAGGCCACCTCATCGCTATAGCACACACGAGGGAACGTGTTTCTTTGGATTTGCAGGTTAATTTCTTCTTGAAATCTCTCTATTCAACGCCAGCGCCGGAACCGTGAATGATAGTTTGTAATGCTATGCTTTCTGCGCGCGCGCTTTTTCCACGGACCGGCGTGCAAACTGCAGTTTAGCCCGGTCTTGGGTCGTGGTGGTCGTGGTCGTGGTCGTGGTCGCTGCCGCCGCCGCTGCTGCCGCCGCCACCGCTGCTGCCGCTGCTCGTTGCCCGCTGCCTCGCTGCTTCGCTGCCCGCCGACTCGCTCCGCTGCCCGCTGTCCGCTGCTTGGTGCTTCTGTTGTCGATGTTGTCGTTGTTGTTGCTGCTGCTAACAGAACCCCTGCACTGTGCATTTTGCTCGATGTTAGCCTTTGAATTGAAGCCTTTCCCCCTTCCTCCTCGATTGCAAGATGCAGAGTGCGCTTGCTTTGGGTATGTGCCAAAGCAAAGCGAATCAAACTCAGATGTGGACTGGCGAAGCCAACTGTTCCAGGGCACTGAACAGCTGCAGCAAGACCTCCATGCACCGCATTTGATCCTCCGTGCCCTCTCTGACGGCATGCACGATGCGTCATGCGTACCGTTGCATTGAGCGCCTGGGGGTCATCGACAGCGGCGAACGCAAAGAGTTGAAGGGTCCTTTGCAGGTGTTTGGGAAAAGTTCCAGCCTTCCAGCCCCCCTCAGACATATCAGCGGCATGTAAGGTTCGCTCAGCTTTCCCAGGCCACACTCATCAGGCGCCTGTGTTCTCGCTGCATTCCCACATGACTGTGTAAAAAGTTCAGCACGTTTTTTTGTTCCTGAACACGACACGTTTTGAACCCTGCCTGGGGTCCCATGGCACCTGCCGACATGAGAATCTGAAGGCCAGACTCCATAGTTGCTGACCTTGCTATATTCAAGTCTCGAATCGGTGCGCAATTTGTGACCGAGCGTAAGTTTGCTGCAATGACTCTCTTGCTGCAGGCTGCCAAGGCCTGCAAAATGCATGCGCAAGAACACAAAATCACGCACATGCGTTCAGGTGATAGTGCGCGCTGCAACCACAAGGTCCAGCCAAGGCAGGCGCAGTGTGTCTTGAAAGATCTGGCGGAACCTTTGCTTTGCAGCACCTGTCGGAGGAAGGTTTCACTCTGCGAAGGGACGGCACATGTCGGCACGAAATGGCGAATCATCGAGAAACTGCGACACTGGGCAGACTGGGCACTCCAGACACCACTTTGAGGGCCAACAGTGCAGGCGAGATCCTCGAGAGTCCTTGAGGAACTTCACTCGCCACGCCCAGACGAAAAACCATCGCTACAAGCATCACAAATTGTCCTGTCTTCAGCTTGCGGCACCTGCTCGAGTGTTGCGAGAACACTGAGTACTGAAGACCAGCTGACAAGTTGACGAAGAATACGACACAGTGGGAAAACTTCGACAGTAAAGCCATGTGATGCCCATACGAATGAGAACGGATACTGTGGGCTTAGGATCTTGCACGGGATTGTGGTTCAACGCCTGCAGGAATAAATGAAGCTCTTCCTTGTTGGATGAAATGAGCAACCCGAATCTGGTGAAGATGCAGTAGTTGGGATTCAGCATCGAACCTTTATCATATCCGAAAAGGTACGCCGATCATCCACCCGCCGTGAAACTGCTTGGTATCCGAATATGGGCATCCTTGAGTAGATAGATTTGGGGAATTTGCGACCAAACTAAACCCCTCAACTTTAAACGCCTCCGGCATGACCGAATCCGAATAGACATCTTCAACATGCAGCAGCACAATACCGGATACGTGTCAATTGGCAGATGTGAGTCATTGAAAGGCAGTGAGTGACACCTAAAGGCGACTGACTTTGGTCCTGGTTCTCTCACGTCGTTGATGCGGCGATGCAGTATGGCGAACTGACCTACACCCTGCCTGTTGCAGACCTTGAGCAGCGTAGGACGCAGGCCTCTGATGGCTTCCCAACTTACTAAATGATGCTGTTGTACTGCTAACAGCTGCTAACATCGAGCTCCGGACATCGATGTTGCAGCGCCCTGGAAGCCTCCCAAACCTCCTCCCAGGCCTCCCCCCAAAGGACTTCCCAGCCCCTGCCCAAAAGCTGGTTGTCCCGCATTCATTGGGTTGCCCTGCAACACTCCTGCGTTTCCACCCAGATTTCCGCCACAACCAAAGCCCCCCAAGCCTTGCGGTGGCATTTGCTGCGTTTGCTGTGGAACGCTTGGAGCCCCAAACCCCTGTCCAAAGCCCTGCCCGAGGCCTGGCCCAAGGCCCTGCCCAAGGCCCTGCCCAAGGCCCTGCCCAAGGCCCTGCCCAAGGCCCTGCCCAAGCCCCTGCCCAAACGGGGTCCCAGGAGGGACTCCACTTGCCAAGCCCTGCGCAGGCTGCGTGCCGAACGCACTCCCAGCCATGCCTCCTTGGCCAAGGCCTGCACCTTGGTTCGGCCGGCGTCCTGCTGCATGCGATCTACGCCATGCTGTGCCGGCTTGTGGTCTAAGGCCAGGCACCAAACTGAGCCTGACGTTGGCACAATCACCCAGAACGCGTGGCAAAATGAACACACCGTTCTGACACGGCACCTGCCCGGGAAATGCACCAGGTTGGCCCATCTGGCCCGAAGGTGCGCTGGGAAACTGCATGGTGCGCAAGTCCCGCCTCGGCTGATTGCGAAGTGACGTCGGGCAAGGCACAACAGCAGGCACTGCACAGAAGAATACAGAAGATCCCACAATCATGTGACGGGATTCCAAAACCCACTCAACCCCCAGCGGGCGATGATCGAAACTCCTGCATTGCGAAATGACCTTCTTTGGGTAAAAATGTTTTCGCGAAACTTATGCCAATTGGCCAACGTCAGCCAAATTCATCAGCTGATTGAGCTGCTTGTGTAAGATATCAAGTTTCAAACTTTGACTTTTAGACACTGCTCTTCATACAGGGTCAGAGGGGCCTAGAGAGTTACTTGAAAGACTACATGTACTTCGCAGTGTTTTTGCTATCTCCAATTTCCTCATGTAAAAAGAAATTACAAAATGAGTGAGGAAGCGGCAAGTTCTACACGGTGGGATGCACAGCAAGCCTTGTTTAAGTTTGAGGCGCTGATCCCTCCCGGCTGGTGCTCAAGCATCACTGCCCTCCACTTGTATTTCACGGCGAACGTTCCAAGACCAGCAGGCGTTAGCAAGAGGGCTTGACTGCCTTCGCACACTGCATCAACTAGGAAGGCCCGCCACCAGCAAGCTGCAAGACAGCGTGCCACAAGAAACTTCAGAATTTTGCAATGAATTCTTGGGCTTCTGGTCAGTGGCATCGCGCTGCTTTTGAAATGTTGGCAATCTTTGTAGCATCATGATGGCTGCAATCAGCTTCACAAGTCACAACTCAAGTGACTGAGGTCTTCCTGCCTAGGCGATTCGCCTAGGTCATTCTTGTGAATATATTGTGTATACAAATATATATATATATATACATATATATATATGTAAAGAAATAAATAAGTAAATAAATAAATACACATTATATACATAAAATATATGTATATATATATAGAAGGATGTACGCGGCAAAAAACCTGCTCCCATTTTGGTTCTCCCTCCCAACTTCACTCGAATTAACTGATTTCGTCCCCCAGGACAACTGTCAAATACATCCGCAAGAGAAGGCATCAGAGATGCTTCAAGAACAATGACCGGATCTCGAGAGAATCGGCAGCGGCCAGCGTGTTGCGGCGCAAGAGAGCTGAGAGCGCCTATTCATGCAACCATCTCTGTAGGGCATCCGCAACAGAGAATTCGGGCTTGGAGCACCTCCGAGCATAGCCTCCTGCAATCAGGGGCGTTTGTACCGTTTGTATGTGCATATCCTGCAAATGCACGGTCAACAGCGCACCTGACCACAAATCGGGTAAACAAGCAGCGAAAACCTCATCACTTGGTAGCAATACACAGCAGTGATAGGAAACACGATCGGCAATGATCGCTGAGTCCCGGGGCGCAAGTCCCATTTTGCATGCCTGCACAAGGCTCTTGCAAGCTGCCGTCAGGCTGTGCAACTTGTCCATTCAATACGTATGCCAAGATGCGGAACGTATCACAGGAGGCTGGGCCATTGTGCTTGGCAGCGAAAACAAATGTTTCTCGGAACAGGTCTGCTGTATGCCATCGAAAACATCGTGGGAGAGCTAAACCAGTTCAAGACAGAAGACAAGCGAATATGACATGAGTTCTGGTGCACCTGCGCCTAGTGCAAGCTGTCATGAGCGACGAGTCACATACCCGATGAATCTATCGGACAGCTCCTTGAATTCAAAGAACAGCTTTTGCACGCCTTGTGCTGAGGCGCGGAATTTTAAACATTGTTTCAGAGTCATGCAAGAGGCCGCATGAAAATGGCAAGAGGCAGAGACTTGCAGCAGTACTCTGCAATGCACCCAGCTTTTGTCCGCATAGGCCTGGCAGATTCGATCAGCTTACGGCCTCACTAACGGCTTCGTACATCCTCGCATTGGACGAAGCCGATCACCACTTGTACTTGGCATACTTGGCACTGCAGGTGCTCTTGGCAGAGCTCAGTGTCGGTGCGTCGTCTCCAAGGGTTCTGGAAGCACATAATGCATTCCGTGGTGCATTCCGATGTGCATTCCATGGTGCACTCCAGCGATTTCCAGCAGAGTCATCCGAAGCTTCTCAAGTGGCCACCATGTTCACAACGTGCCCAAGCCCAGCGCTTTACAAAGCTGCCTTCACCACAACTAGTGTTGGACGAGGTTGGACCCCGACTAAAAAATTTCTGTGGCTTTATGTGTCTCGGGTTTGTTTTAAGTTTTAAGTTTGAACTGTGTGTTTAATTTTCTATACATGCGCAGCATGTCGATAAAATCTTCGATTTCCAGAACTTGTTTGACCAAGTTGCTCGAATGCATCGCACGCCTGCAAAGAGCTTGAATGACAACTTGACAACTTGACAACATCAACAGCGGCAAGAGAACACTGAGATCACTGAGGTCCGCATCGCCTTCTGGAAGTTGGCAGAAGCAAGAGGATTGTCCGGGTTCTTGTCTGGATGCCACTTCAGCGCAGCCTGCCTGTAATGCAAAATCGCCCGCCAGCAGTTCCCGTTCGTGGACAGCAAAGAACTCAGAGCAACCAGGGAGTGGAGATCCACGTGAAGCACAGCGAAACATCATAGAGCCTGTAAGCCTTCTTGAGGACGTTCCTGTCGCGCGTGCCCTCCGGTACACCAAGAGCCTGACCGCACAAGCGAGAGGGGCAACTACGGACAAGAGTCCTGTCAGCATTGCAGGCATCGCAGGGACTTGCACGTTCCATTCTTTCGATGGAATGGCGCCTGGTAGTAGGCCTTCAGCGGTTGCATGGAAGCCATTGAAGGACGCTCCCATGGATCTGGAGGAGGCCCTGCGACACCACCGAAACCGCGCTTCGAATGCAATTGAAAATGCTGAGAGGGCCTTTGCTGCGATTTCCAGGACCTCGATTCGAGCCTTCAGGTTGGGAAACAAGCCGTGCGCCACGTTCCACTGTAACATAAAGACCCAGCAAAGCCTGCACTCGGCTTGGCTCGTCCCGGAGGCCAGAACTGACCCATGCTGCCTGTTGCCGGAGACGCGAGTTCAGTGGAGTGTCAAATTCTTAGCACAGCTGTTCCTAGAACAGGCGAAGGCACCGATGAAGAGCTCCAGCTCTTCAGGCGTCCATTGCCAGGCATGACTCGGAAGATCCACCCCAGAACCTGCAAGCATCAGCTTACGTTTCTTGCCATCTTCAATGTTTCTGATAGACTGATACAGTGATCGACTGTTCACGTGCATGTGGAGCCTTGGAATCCTGGGTACTTGGTGAGAAGGCTCCTTGGGCAAGGTTCCACGTGTGCATATGTGTGCGGTAGCATGCGCAAAGAAACAAAGACTCGTCTTCGGTTGCCCCATGGCAGACCGAGCATCTGGAGGCGCTCTGCATATGTTAGCGGGCGCTTTGGAGCACCTTGGAAGCTCAGAAGGGTCAACTTGTCGTCAAGAGTTGATGATGCAGATTGATGCAGATTGATGCAGATTGATGCAGATTGATGCAGATTGATGCAGGCAAGATGCTGGGTTTGGGAGAGGGTCGAGCCGCCTTTGGAGGCACGGCAGACTTTGGCTGTGGTGGTGGCACAGCATGGTTTGGCCGAGGTGGTGCAGCAGGCTTGGGCTGTGCACCTTGGCTTCAACTTATGAAATTTGATACTTGGAGCTTGCCTGTTCGAAGCCACACTCAGCCTCAACCTTGAGATGCCTTGCCAGCCTGATGCGCACCACGCTGAGACTCGCTCTAGCATGTGCCCGAGCTCGCTGAGCCTCCAAAGGGTTCTTGAGCATCCACGTTACCTAAGCACGATGTCGCAAAATCTCGGAAACGACATCTGCAAGCAATGTGTGCACCGCGTGCTCAGGAGACTCCTTCGATCTATTCAAAAACAGCTTTGCGTAAACTTGTCACGATGCACGCGTGAAACCTGCACAACAAACTTATACAATATTGCGAGCACCAAAGCTTCTAGGTTGCCGACTTCTCGAGCTCATGTAGCTAGAGAGCAACAGCTATCAGCAAAACAGAAAGCAATCCCTGGCCAAGAAGTGTGAGCCCATCCAAGGAAATGTACCATACAGCCCAGGTCCACTATTTACATCACAACGCGGCCGTAGATCTAAAAAAAGCCGCACGTCTCGAGGGCATGCCATACTATGCCGTCGCAAGGCGCCCCTCTCTAAGATCCCTCCAAGATGTGGCCATGATTCTTTCTTGGATTGTGGAGTACTCTGAGTACATGGGGCAACTCTGGAAAGGAGTTCAGACCAATGAGGTACAGCCTACTAGAAACCAATCTAAGCCGCCTCTTCCGAAGAAGCGAAATCCAGAGCTGTCTGACCACTTGCACTGCTTCTTGCTGCTTCTGCCCGGGCTTGCAGCAACGTGAAGACCACGTCCGGATCTCCTGGAGGACAGCGTCAATACGTGCCCACGTCGCAGTTTCCGACATGCGACACGTGATTGCAGCAATGCGGTGTTCAATCAGTGTATTCAATCTCGCTCTGATCGTATTGCGCCTATTCCCGCAGCTTCCATTAGGGGCGTCTCGTGCAGGACTGCGTCAGACGTGTTGACGGAAGCGCCAGAGTCGAGCAACAGCTGCACAATGCCTCAGCACAGTAGCTTTCAGATCAGGAACTTCAAGTAGAACATAGCAGCTGACGTAGAGACAGATCGTATTGCATCTTACATACGGCGTTTAAACAAAGGTCACGGTCTGCCTCTCTCCTGCAAAAGTTTGCCTAGTCCGAGTCTTCCAGGTTTTTTCAACTGCGAACCCACCAAAGTCAATCTTGTCAAGCCCTCCATATAAAAGACTTCAAACCAAGGCGGTTGCAGTTCTTTGCAGACTCTCTCAGCCTTTCGGCATTGAACGTACACTGTTATCATGGTTGTGCGGGCGCCAGCGGGCGCAGTCACACTATATACGCCACGCCGCTCATCCTCAAAGCTCTCTTGGCGTCTGCAGAAGCCCTGGTAGCAAGGATGAGCGGAGTCTCGCCGAGCAGATTGGTTGCGTTTACTGCCGCAGTCCTAAGTGGAAGGTTGAGACTTGAGACATCTCGAGGCTAGAAGATCATTGAGGAGGACTCGGTATAGAGCTCAAGAGCGGGCAAGGTACGCTGAAATCAGGAGCCTGACAAGCCGACGGCCGTCATCAGAATCAGGAGCTCGGGCAGTACACACATGAAGCACAGCAAAACCATTGGCATCTTTCCGTTGAAAATTCAAGCTGACCTCCTCTGCCTTTGCTCGCTGTAGCAATAGCTCAGCCTTCTGTACGTCATGTTGACGAGCCGCAAGTCGGAGACCCCTGTCAAACCAGTAGTCCGGTGGCAAGGCGAATAAGTGCCTGAGCGCTCATGCGGAAGTGACTTCCCCACATGCCATGCTTCGCATATGGTAGATATGTAGACACACCATACAGCACATGCAGCAGAGGTGCGCGATGGATTGGTGTTCTGATGCCAGCTGCGTTGCACTTAATCCAGAAGGTGATCGGCATGTGGGATTGGCTGCATTCTCCAGCAATATTCTACAGATCTGGGCTTGTCCTTGACCAGCCGCCTCCATCAAGGCTGTTTCACCAAAGTTGTCCTTCTCGTTTGGGTCAGCTCGATGAGTCAGAAGATACTGGACAGTACGGATGTCGCTTTGCCGAACTGCCTTGATGAGCTGTGTCTCACCTAGAGCTTCTGCTCGGCCAAACGTGGATGAGGGAGAATAGCTGAAAGGGGATGTGGGTGGAGGCGGCGGCGGCGGAGGCTCCTTGGCAGTTGGCACCACCTTTGGGCGCTCACTATGCTCATTGCGCTCACTGTCAACCTTTCCAGCCTTGGCGAAATCGGACTCGGTGTTCTCTTGCTTCTGCTGCGCTTTCATCTCTTGCTTGCTTGTATTCGTTTGTGACGAGTTCTCGTCTTTCGCGTCCCCCGCCCTCTTGTCATTGGAACTGTCTAGGCCAGATCTTGATTCCGTCTCTAATCGATTTCGTAAAGCTGCAAGGGTCTCGCTATTGAAGGCCTTCAAGCCAGCAGCATGCAGCCGCTTGTTGAGACCATGGGCCAAAAGCTTGGCTAGCTCGCCCACCGTGGTAGCACCCACACGCGACAGCTTCTCTTCCACTGCTGCCAGATCTTTCTCGCTCCAACTTGGGCGCGCATCGCTGAGCAGCCGTCGTAGCGGTGTAACAGCTTCCACATGCACCATGACCAAAGGTCACATAAGATGTTAACATGTGAACACTTGCTGGCTACTTGTTTGCCTCATTGAGACTAGTCGATCAACAGGGCTAAATTATGGCTTTGCCTTGGCACGATCTCAATTCCTTCTTGAAGGGCGGGTTGGGCTCTTGAAATGACTCTTCAAGTGTCAAAACCATAAATTGCCAACTCCACCTCCAACCAGTCCTCTGAGCCTGATGGTTTAGAGTCGCTCGAATCGGGGTGGGCCATGCTCCTTCTTCAGCAAACGAGTGAAGCTCCGAAATACCCAGTTTTCTGGAACGCGTTGCACAAGTAGGGCATTGACCTCTGAATTAATATTGAAAGGTGGCGTTCCAAGACTTACAGTGAAGTCTACATTGCAAAGTGCCGGGAGCTCTTGCTTCGTTTTCACAGAACATTGCTACCATTGTATTGCAGAGGTGCCACAAGGTCTGTAGACTGCACAATTTCCAGGTGCTCGACTGCTGTATGTATGTATGTATGTATGTATGTATGTATGTATGTATGTAGACGATCGTTGGCTTCGTGTGCATGACCAAAGCGTGTAGTGCTGAAGAGTAGCTGCAAGCACATGTAAGCTAGTCAGGTCCACAAGAAGCAACCCGGACATCAGGAAGCTGGAATCCTACGCCAATCTAGCCGGGGACTTGCATCCCTCTTCCGTTGCGCCAGGCAACCTGCCAGCAAGATGGAGCTGTGCGCTTCAAAAAAACTGGTGCGCTCTTGGGAAACTGTGAAGTGAATTGAATGGGTTCACATGGATGTGAAATCTGAGCATGTTGTGTTTCGCAAAGCATGCCTTCGACTGCTTTAGTGGCGATGTGGGGACCGCCCTTCAGGTGCACACTGCTCCATTATCAGCTCGGCCTGCTGCTTTCGAACCGCTGCCGCCTGGACTGCAGCGCCCCGACTATAGATTGTAGCCCACATGAGTCTGAGCGATCAGAGACCTGTAAACGCGCGCCTGCTTTGCAACCACTAAGCCTACAGGGCCTTATGGGGCTCCAGGTTTAGCCGTTAAAGGTTTAGGGTTTTGGGCTTGAAAGTTTGGAGTCTAGGACTTGTCAGCTAAGGATTTCCGAGGAAGGAAAGAGGCACAAAGAATATGCGGTTTGGTTGTAACTAACAATAGAACACACCTCCAAGCCAGCGTCTCAATCGTTAGCATGGTGCTTGGTTCAGGGCTCGTTCCTCTTTAGGATTGCGGTAGGATTGCGGTGGAGGGAGAAGAAGCCGAGAAGTTGAAGGCGGAAGGAGAGAGGGGAAAGAGAGCGAGAGAAGGCGGGAAGGGAAAGGGAGGGAGGGAGAGCAAGTTCATACGGAGAAAGGTACGGAGAGAGGGAAGGGGGGTTTACCGAATACATCCGAATACACTCAGACTCCGAAACTCGGTTTACACCTTGAGGCTCAGGTCTTAACCCCAGGCAACGATGCACCCCGTGGCACTCACCCTTGAGTTGGAGAAAGGTGGTTTTGGGTGCTTTTCTCGGGAAGCTATTGTTCATATTTGGAGCAAATCAAAATCTGCTGTCAATGGCTCAAGGACACAGCATGCCACACGCATATTAATTCAACAAGTGTACATGAATATCGAGCAACAGCAGGGAAAACTCCAACACAGCGCTTCCTTTCTCTGAGCAGGATGACGGTCTGCGCCACGTTCCGCCTCACATGCCTTGGACAGATCTGAGTTCTCGCAGGCTCCATTCACCGGTGGAAACCATCGTTGTTTCCAAATCTTTTCAGAAGTATGGCAGGCGTCCAAGCTATATCCTCTTGCCTCAGCTGTTGATCAGTCTTGATCTACACAGCATCTGGTTTGTCGATGCGCGCGAGAAAAGCATCTCGTCTGTATTACTGCAGGCACACATGGATTTGCGCATCTGGTCAAGGAGTTGCATGTCCGAGCTGACCTACTACAATTTTGTGAGCGTTCCTCCGGGTGCCTAGTCCATTTAACGACAAGGTTCACTGATCTGTCGAGTCATGCGTCCAGTGATCACTTCAGCTTGTGATCTATTGACTGCAGACTCTATAGCCTCTACGGACTGGATCCGGAAGTCAACCCAAAACACAGGACCATTCTCAACACATGCATGCAACCCTCATACTGGCACCTATATAGCACATGTCACAATAAGATGTCCCAATTTCAGGGCACTAGGACCCTATGAGTGTGGCAGAGCGAAATCTTGGCACTTCGGAGGCCTCCATAAGCAAAGCGTTTCATGTCTTCAGTCCGTCCCTGCAGTGTCCAAGCAATCAATTATGTTTGGGCAAGCGCCTCGCTGCTCAAAGATAGCCACGCCAGCAAGCACGAAACATGTCCCAATCAGAACTTCCTTGCAGGAGCCATGGGATGCAATGGGTGTTTCTGTTTGGTTTTTGATTGGTCCAGCTGTGATTTGTGAGATTTTGTGAACATCCCACCTGCGGCAACCTCTCACCCCAGAAGCCCATCGAAAATGCCAGGAGTATGATGGTGTTGAGTTTGCCTATTATCTGCATGGAGCTAGCTCCGAGCTGCTTCATCGTCGTCATGCCCAGCACATTCAAAATAGTGGCTGTGATGCAGGTCAGAAGGATCATGTGCGCAACCTGGGGCGTTGCAGCGGCCACGGCTTGCTGCGGGCTTTCGGTAAACAGGGCGTAGGTCACTGCCCATAGCGTGCAAGGGGGTGCCTGCAGTGCCCAGACGTGCATCGGAGATAAGGCGATCAAGGCAGGCGGAGGGGGCGGACCACCTTGGCCATGTTGGCCATGTTGGCCGTGTTGGCCATGTTGGCCATGTTGGCCTTCCAGATCCGACTTGTCATCCTTGTCTTCGTTTTGCTTGTTTTCTGCTTTGTAGGCCGTAGGCTCCAGAAGCTGATCTTGCAGAACGGCCTTGGCAGCCCTTAGGAAGACGGAGGCGGTACAAAAGATAAGGCCCAAGGCTACCGAATTCGTCTCTCGATGGTCCTTCAGTTCACCAGCCCCAATGCAAGTAGCACCCAGACTTGCAACACCGACCCCGATCCAGCCAGTCTTGTTAATCCGACGTCCTAGGCAGTGGGTCAAAACCGCAGTAATGATAGGCGCCAGCGTACCAATGATGCCCACAAGTCCAGCCCCCATATACAGAAGGGACGTGTTATTTAGTGCGATGGAAAGTGGCAGGCTGGCAGCAATTGGGAGGACGTACTTGGCATAGCGCCTGACTGAACCTAGCGAGCTCGGCCTGCACTTGTCAAACTGCTTGCGGGTGGCCCAAAACATCCAGCTCGTCAGCCAAATAAAAACGAAGTGCAAGCTCGTGACAGTTGCTGGATATCTGAAGTTAAGGTCGCCCGATCCCAAATTCTTCATCAGGAGCTGGGTGCATACCAAGGACATGACGAAGCTGCAGGTACACAGCTGTGTTGCAAAACCACGCGGCCGCAAAATTGCCCAAATTGCTAAGAAGATTAGCATGGCCACCAACACTGCCACGACCTGGCCGGCATCCAGTTCCATCGACGAGCTCCTACCATGAGAGCATCGGAGTCGCAAAACCCGCTGGGCTTGGCTCAGCGTCCTATCCAATCTCCACACACCAGACACTTCTCACAGCTGCGGGGTGGGCGACTGTCCGCGGTGGAGCATGCTATATTGGGACCTAGCCCTGACATGGCCTGGCCCCACTCCAGCTACATCTCATTTCCAATTCAACTCGGGACCCGCTCGTTCTCTAATCCCTGAGCGCAAGCTTGCCTTCGTCCTGCAACTTTAAATTCTAGGCGTCCGGCATTGTCTCGTGTGACCATGAGCGCCCGCTCCTATCAGCTAAGTTCCGAAACATACACTCCGGCACCATGCAACTTCGAAAAGGTGCTGTCTCTGGGACCCCGGCATCCATAAAGACCTCGTGAATTCAAGCAAGAACTTTTTGGCAGCTATGAATAACCAGCAACAGCAACGCTTTTTTCTGTCTAACTGATTGGGGCGAGGAGATGTGTGAAAAGTGAAAGAACACGGATCGGCCTGTAAGGATTTGTAGCCACCACCAACTCGGACGACAACATGCTCACCTCTTTGCTGAATGTAGACCTTAAGACTCCGCATCAGATCCAGATGAAGGCGCATGACACATGCAAGCGCTGATTCACCGCTGTGCGCTCCACTGTTCCGCGATCGCCAAACACCTCAAGGGACTCAAGGGCCACCATTCAATTAACTTGCAGGCGGGTGCAGCCTCTGCTACTTACTCACTTGGGCGACTTGCGGGAACCGGTAACTTGCCCAGTGCACAAGCATACAGCAGCGCTCAGCGGTGCACGTAGTAATTTGGCGCCACCTTCTGGATGGACCTCACGGCTGCGCTTGGCTCTTGCAAGCTACGAGAGAAATTGCAGTCCTGCTCTAGTAAGCAATTCGCACAGGAAAGTCTGGATTGTGTTCCAGGTACCTGCCAGCACGGCAGATGGATGCCACTCACAGCTCACGAGCGTTACATGCTGGTTTCGTCCAGGAAGAACACAAACTTGGAGGAGCGAGCGTTCGAATCGCAGTGTCGATGGAATCTTCCTCCTCATCTTCTGCAGAGACCTGACTATAGGGCTAATGCGGCTAATGACTTGAACGTCTTGAATCTGCAGAAGTTCTGCAGACCATCTCTGAGCTCCGGCCTGCGCATCAGCGTCTTGCTTGCGTGCCTGTTGTTGCACGGGATGTCAGCGAAGCGAGCAGCATTCAATAATTCTTGAACTTGATGAACTTGAACATACTTGAACATACTTGAACCCCCTGTTGGTCTCGTTTGAGTGCTGTGCCGGAGCCGAACGCCGAGGCCCACCTTGCCGCAACTGGTTGTCTCAAGCAACACGTACTCATCCTGCTTGACACGTATATGGGTTGTTGTCAAACTGCTTGTTCCCGAAATTGACGTTCATGCGGCAGTACTTGCGCGCCGCCTTATGTCGCAAAGGACAGAAAGCTGTTGAGATGGAGTGGGATCCTGGCGTGTTTCCTAGACGGGATGCTAGGACAAATTTTCAGCTGTTGCTGTCGGACGAGTTGTCAGAGGAACAGCTAGTGCTGCTATTGCTGAAGCTTTGGCGCGAGCGAAGATGTCTCCGATGTCGCACTTGTGGCCAGATTGCTTGTGGTAACTAGCTGTTTCTCAAGCGGCTTGCGGCTGCATTGGCATCATCTGGCAGTTTTTCGACCACACATGTTTCGCTGCCAATGTCGAGATTCCGGCAGCGGGAGCACCCTGGGCCACAATGGCAACTCTTTCAGTGAAAAGTAATCTCGTTGCACATACTGCCTGCAGTAGTTCAGTAGCTGTCACGCCCTTGATCATATAAACGTTTCCGCTCCATTGGCGCCACATCATGTCACATTTGAAAGATTCTCCGTTCATTGTAAACCCGATGGTTACAAATCCGTGTGGTGAGCCAAGGTCTTGCACGGTAGGTGGCGTTGAGATTTTGCTAGCGCCGAGCTAGCCCGGTGCTAGCGCGCAACACCGTTTGCACGGTCTGATCGTATCCCGCAAGAGAAGGTCCCACAGCACCCCAAGACCTCACCCAAAACACTTCAAGGCATGTTGATGTCGTATTCAAAAAAGACCTGCAGCCTGAGTGCGCAGTTGGAGCGTCAGAGCTTGCAGGCAACATTCAGCACCAGGACAAGTGAATCACAAAATCGTTGGACATAAGAGAAACGCGAAAGACTTTAGAGCTGTCAACAGCTAATCGGGACGAACTACATCGACTGATGTATTGTGGGTGGTTCACCTTACAATGATGGCATGTTCATGCAGCACCTGTTATTTTGACCTGACGCGAACCTGCCGTTTTTCTAGCGCCACAATGGGGTATCAGTGGCTCTACTTGCGTGCCGCATAGCACAGACGTGAAGATGTACAGCCCAAACCCACTAATGGAATTGAAACAACTTAAAGAACGCACGAAGTTAGAACGCAACACGTATGTAGATTATCGAAAGTAGCCTGTTTGGCAGTCTGCTTTCTGGCAAACAGATCTATGCTCGTTTCAGCCGGGACTAGGTTCGAAAATTGACACGTGCCACTCAAAGCCCTATGTATCGATATCGAGTATGTAGCTGTGGCAAGGCCAGCGATCGCTCCAGACCTTCTGACCAAGCAAGACCACAAACGCAGCCCGAACACAACGTGGCTAGATTTATGTAGATGCCTACTTCCACCCCCTCGGCCCCCCCCACCCACCGCAGGAGCCCGCCACAGCATCCGTCACAGACACAATGGCACAAAAGAAATCAAACCTTCGAGCATCTTGTTCGTTTGCGGGTCATTGGCAAGGTTTCCAGGTGCCTGAACATGTTTTCCTGCCAATGAAGCAACGCAAGTCTGCATCTCACCGCAGCCCCGAGCCTTTCGGCTTTCCCTCAGCCTCAAGAACTGCGACGCGGTTCTGGAGTCGAGCCACCAATGCCTTGCTACATTTGCAGTCACTTCTAGTTCATCAATTCCTGTTTCGCCCGTATATTCCACAGCAGCTCAGCCTCAAGTTCCTGGACACGCGATTCTGCAGCCTTGCGCCGCGCCACCTCCAGGAGTCAGGCTCCCAGATGTTTGGGCAAACTTTCATCCGCGGTGCTGCAAACTGTGCTGCGAGCAAAGCATGCGCATCGATGCGTCACTCTAGCTCAGCCATGATATGGCTCATCCCGAGTGCTCATGCCGCTATCTTTGCCGCTTCACGGATCACAGATCTTCACAGAACTTTCATGGCAGGGCCTCTGCTTGTAGACCATCGGCCTGCAAGCCGATGCTTGGCGCCTGGAGCTTTCACGGAGCCGGTCAATGTCACAGAGTCTCACTTTGAGCACCACTAGAAGGCCTGGCCAGGTGCGACACCTTGAGGTGAGCCTTCCGGCAGTCACATCGCTGATGCTTCTTGAGCTTCTGCACCCTTTGAGCTGTTTGTAATTCTTGGCACCTCCATATGCTCTCACATGCTGCAACGGCATGGTGGTGCCATTCGGATACCTCGGCTAACGTGGATCTCTCAGCACCTCAACGGCTCAGAGGATCTGATGGCTCACGGCGCATTCCCAGGACTCCACGGCACTCCTGCCTTGGCCAAGCATGCTTGGAGACCATGGAACTGGCGGCTGGATCGCAACATCGTATAGATGCAAGGTTAACTGGACATTCCAGGCAGCGAGCTGCGCAGGGTCGTGGACCTTTGCCATCAAGGTGTATTGCAGGAGCATCACTCAGCTGCTCGTCATAGCAATCAAAAACTTGGAGCATGGAAAGCGCATCCCTAGGAGATCTTTTCATCAAGGCAGCCATCAACAAAGGCAGGCCGCCAAGGGTGTTCACTATATTGCACTCTCGTGACAGAGCTTTTTGGTTCTTGGCTGGGGGTGCCACCTGCAGTGGCCGGCGCAAAACATGACATCACTAGACGTCAGCCCATGCACTCCGACTTCTCTGAGCGTGTGAAGTGTGATAGCTTGAGTTTGCATGCGACATGACTTTTGTATAGACTCATCTTCACTGTCGAGTGCCGGTTGTGGAATGTCTCATAGCCCTGCAGATGTAGACAATTGTAGACAGATAAAGGCCGTTGCAGGCCACGGCATGGCTTGCATACCTATGGTAAACTCAAAGCTGCGCCGCGGGACGCTACAAGTGTTCAGCATGTTTTGAAGTGTTGAAGCGTTGCGAAGTGCTGAAGGAGGCCGAAGCTCAAGGATGTCGAGAGCTTTTGCCTGCTTTCTCTTCCCCCTCCCCTTTTCGCCTCAGCTTTGCGAGTAAACAATGGTGAAGTCATCCACGTCAAAGCCAGCAAAATACCTTCGGCAGCATGGTCGGAGCGGGATGTGGGAAGCTGACCTAATTACAGTGCTTAATTGCGTTCAACACGCCTGTCACTGAATTTTGGAGCAGTATCAAGCGTTGCACCCGAAGCAGCACATACGGAACTGCAAGTCCATGAAGTGGGTAGCGTGCACTGCACACAACCCATCAACGTTTGCAAACTGGCAGACACATGTCAACATGACACAGAGACAGAGTCTCTTACAAGCGTCTGAACATGTCTGAGCCTTCAAACCTGTAGCTAGCAATGGTCAGCCACAACTGTCGACTTCAAAGCCATACCTGATGGGGGGGGGGGGGATGTTGGGTGAAATGCTGGACAGCCTGGACAGCATATTGACCTCTGCATGGGGCTGCAAACTAGGGCAAAGCACAAACCGACGAGAAGGGCATTGATGATCGCCACGAAGGAAGCCAGGAGCAGTGCACCTCGCAGCCAATTGCACAGGGCTGGCGACTGTAAACGCAAACTTCTTCTGTGTGGCAAAATCTCGCAGCCCAGCGCAATGTTTCGCTAGGGTTAGCACTGGCAGCACTAGCACCTACAAGCACCCAGTAGCACCTGGAGGGTCCAACTTCCGCCTGACAGCCTCCTCAGCATCATCATCCAACTCCGACAAGACCTGAGACTCAGCATTCGAACTGGTGGCCACGAACATCTACACAAGGCGCACCTCTTTGGGAATTGCTGACCATGGCCACGGCATACTCCCTGGATGCAGCAGCACCAGTCGGTGAGGGCTGGTCTCGACCCAAGACCGTTGCAGTTTTACCACTTGCATCGTGATGACCTCGAGATCCATCGAGCCGGTGAGGCTAAAAGCCGATGCAATTCGATGCACTATGTACGTCTGATGGCACTCTCTGATGAAGCAATATGAAACCCACACCGCTAACAACCCAACCCAAGACAAAGCGAAGCATTCATGTGATGGCATCCAACAGTTGCACGGGACCTTGATTCTGAGTAGGCTCTGTCCATGTGCCGGACTACATTCTTTTGAGATTTGAGATAGCCTGGGGAGTTTAACGCAGCCCAAGGAAAATGTGTTTCCGCTTGTGAGGTTACAGGTGGTTTGTGTGCTCGGTGGTGTTAGGCCTGTTAGGCCTTCCTGAAGAGGGACCTCAAACCTGTTGCATAGCAGAGAAAATGAATTGACTGCCGGACATTGCGCCGCATGCGATGCCACGGAAAAAAGGTTTTCAAGGCACTATCAGAATCAGTTTGCTGGTTGGGGAGCACCGCCTGTAACTAACTGTCTGCTGGCCAAAATGAAGCTGAACAGGATCTCCAAAAGACTTCAGAAGAATCCGAAGGAGCAGCACCGCTTGAAGAGCCCAGCCTACGTACTATATCCAATACCACACTGGCACAGAATGTAGAAATGCAGATGGTCTGTGCTCACACATGCTCCTCTATCCTCTGATGCAAGTCGAACCATAAGACCCTCTGCTGGGGCAAGCACCCAAGTTCTCTGACGCTCCACAGAAAGCACCTCGAAGTACGTAAAGGGTGCCAGAAGCAGCTCCGAGTAGTTTCCCGGAAGTGTTGCTCCCCGGCCGGAACTGGTCTGGATCACAAAGAGGACTTCGACACCGTCTGAGCCCACGGAGCCGAACAGACCACGGTCATGTTGGGCGCAGGACTGGGCAAGCTGGCGGTCAGTGGTGACATTCAGGAGAGCAGTAGCCTTTGCAGCACATGTCTGTGAACTCATGAGAGGCAGTGTGAAAAACTCCCTTGCAGCATATGCGGTCTTCTTTCAGCTGCTCAGGCTGCCTGCTGTGGACATGTCACTATGGCTCTTCCAGGAAGACGGCTTGTACAAGAAGCCTATCAGTTTGCGAGCGGGGGAGTGCACTACAGCACTGAGCCCATGAGATCTGAGTACCAGAAGAGCGTCAGCTCGAGCCAGGGTAAAACAGTTCTGAGAGGCGATGACTCCCCGTTTCGGCCTACGTCACCAATGCGCACCTTGCCAAGGACATCCACAGGCTCTGATGAAGCCGAGAAACCAAGTCAGTGGTGACATTTGAGAAAGCGTGCCAAGTGACAACGCGCCCAACCACGTAGTTCTCGGTCAAATGATACTCCGCCAGTCTCATGCCGCGATACAGCGTTCTCTTGGCTGCATAAGCTCGCTCTACTTTGTGCACGTATGCCATCAGTGCCTTCACAATATGGCCGTACCTCACAGACCCCAGATCAAAGGCAGTGACGTGTGCAAGCCGCAAAGAAAACAAGAGACACGGAAAAAAACAATTCTTGTGCATGACTGGTCGCTCTGCAAAAAGCGCAGGCCAACTTTGTGCCCGCATGAGCCTGTGAGATTGAGGGAGCAGTTGTTCTATGTTCATGCCTTGGTTTCTCGGCTTCTCTCCAGAGCCTGTGGATGTCCTTGGCAAGGTGCGCATTGGTGACGTAGGCAGAAGCCACTGCTTCCTCCAGCTTTGTCACTCCTTGTGCCTGCACTTGGCAAGCCAAAACCACACAAGGCACACAAATGTCCAAGTAAGCTTAGCCCTGCAAGGTCAATTCTGGGCCCGATTGCACTTCCGAAAGCTTGTCAGATTGTGTTACCACGCTATTCTTCGCAGGTGACGAAGGAAGGTTACAGTGACACAAACAGAGGCTTGAACCGCTGTGTTCCACGCAGGTTCTGACAGCAAGACTGCACTAGATGCAAAACATGGCACCGGCTGAACAACGCGCATTACTCCAGGCACGGCCATGATGCCTACGGTCTCTCCTTGAAAGTCACCCGACATCCTTAAAAAGGAAGAACAAACTACTCTGACTCCTCATCCCAAGGAAACAAAACTCGGATGCAGGTGGAATCTATACTGTACACACATCCAAACAAACCAAGCCATGCGAGTGAAGCTGTACACTAGGACACACGCCTAAATACACTGTACCCCGTACTGTAGTATGCTAGACTATACTATGCTATAGTCTATCATGCTTTACTGTCCCAAACTATACTGTACAGCACTGTACTAGAATAGACGGTGCTATATTGCATTACACCGCATTATTTCAATACTGTACTTTGCTACACTATGCCATACCATACCATGTCTTCCTAAGTATACCGTGCTACACGATGCCGACAGGCGATGCGCGGTCGACCCAGGCCTTCGAGAGCATGTTCGACGATGTGGGCATTGATCCACGAGCGGAGAGTACATCCAGCAAAGTGCTCTCGTCAAGATGAAAATGGTGCAGGTGGTCCAGAAAGTCCTTAGCCACGTTCAAATCGAAAGAAACGCGATGGATAAAAACTAGGCGACTATGTTGGCTAGCTAACTCGGCCTCGGCCATGCACGAGAAAGACCCCAAGACAGTTCTGCCAGCTCCGTGTCTGCTTGCGGAGCTGTCAACACAACACTGGACTGGCATTGATGTTTCAAGGGCAGATGTTGGCAAATTAAAATTAGCAGCTTTGCACTGAAGACTTATCATGCCAGAACAAGCCACAAGCACTGCGTGGCAACTTGATCCTCAAATAAACGGGCGTAAGATGGCTTAAGAGATGCTGAAGCATGCTTGAGCCACTAAGGCGCTGTTGCTGTATGTTACTATTGCTGCTCATGGTTGTTGAAGTATCTGACAGGTCACCGTCTTGCTGTCAGCAGCTTCTGCTCGCTCCAAGACGCAGTCGGGCAAACCATGTCGCACGCATGGATGGGGACTCTGCACTCCCGTCATCCAGGTACCCTAAGTGCCTGCTTTGCAAACGTAAGGTCTCTCAGACACCCACCTAGAATCCAAATCTTCTGCTGCACAAGATGGTCTGACGATCTACGTGATGATTCAGCACAAAGCGTCTGCGCCTTCGTGTAGTTGTGTCGTTGAATCTTCTTGCGGAATATACACCGGAATGATGCGGAGCTGCGCAAAGGGCGGCGTGTGAACTCACCATATGCTCAAAAGGCAACATCACACAAGGCAAGACAGCCTTTGAATCCTGCTGATTCGTTTCGGCCAAGGAGGTTTGTTGCTAGATCTTGCTTCTGTATCATGGCTAGCACACTGCTTGGCAGTCTGGCTAAGCTGTGATGCCTACGATTCCGCAAGCCCATGGACAGCATTCACGCCCAGAGAAACACAGAGTTCGTGACTTCTCATGGCTTCTCGAGACGTGTACATGAATCATTTTAAATGGTTCATTCCCGGTACAGTTGTTCACCGGCGCGACTCAATCGTCTGCGCATGCGAATGAATGGGTGAATGCATGACTGAATGGGCAATATTTTTATTCTTGAAATGATTTATTCACACCAGGGAATCGCCCGTCGGGTCGACATGGCTGTCCCGGTCCACCTTAGAGCCAAGGACACCATTGCGGTCGCAATGGGCGACGTTCGCAAGGACAAGTCCAAGAACATTGTAGATGCAACAAGCACGCTGGAGTCAATGGTGGCCTCATGGCTCGTGAAGAGGTGCTCCAGGTCGACGACATCATTGGTGTCTGACCTTGCTCGCTTTCAAGGCTCAGGCACGGCATTGCGTCATTGATTCTCACTGTGTCAGCAGCTGTGCTCCAGGCCTGGACATCGGAATTCCAGTGTCACTCCAGCCGTCAGCCCAGGCCAGATAGCCGGTCCTCAGCTCCCAAGGCTGGAACAGGATTCTGAGGTATTGACTATTGCATAACGACCATCTATACAGCTATTGCACGGCGTGAGCCCAGCTGGTCCGAGATCCTGGCCGCTTGTGGGCGACTCCTTCTGTCCAGCCATTCCAACTATCCCCCCATGCCTTCGGGAAACCAAAGAGACAGGAGCATGCTGACACGCCGCAAAATGCAAGTGCTGCACCGTGGGGACATGAAGGCGGGAAACAGTGCTTTATAAGCGGCTGGCATTACACCTGCTCTCAACCGCTCGAGCAATGGCTGACATGCCAAATGAACCTCAACAGGGGTTGCCAGCTTTTGCAGGTTGAGGCAATGATACAGCAGTTGTCCGCAGTACCGCACATGAGGTGGAGCCACCACCCGCATCCATTTCTCAAGGATGTGGCTTGTTGACTCCCGGCTCATCAAAGACTCAGATCCTGCTGGGTCCTGCACAGCAACGATGCATCAACGATGCAGTGCCGAAAGATGCTGGGTGGAGAACACCGTCTGTGAGAATGGTTTGAGGTTGGGGAGGAGATCTTGATTCATTTTCCAAGTGCAAGCGGGGAACTTAAAGGACCATGGCATGGTCGTGGGATTGGGTGTGTGCTCTGTGCGAATCGGGGTCAAGGGCCCTGAGGGGTGGTATCGGGCTGATTTAAATGGTTTAAACGGGCTCAAATATTGCAGACCTATCTTCTGAAACAACTTCGCCACAACACAATCAAATGATACTACCGTTGTACGGTGTAGTACACTCACTACCCTTGGATACCCTTGGTAAAGTGATGTGTTACGCAAGGTTTTCCACTGCAATGGCAGCCCCTTGCTGCGCTGCTTGCTTTGCTACGCTCTGCGCATCTTTATGCTACGCTTTGTGTGCATGCGATCCTGGACAGGGAAAAGCAGCGGCTGCGACGACTCGCTGATAGGATCCTGCAAGATAAGTTTCTGAGTTTCCGATCCGTGTAACTACATAGAGCAAGCGACTGACGCATGAATGGAATCACTGGAACTCCCAAGAACATCCAAAAAACAAGTGCATCTTATCAGCATCTCTAGATATCTGCATCAGCTGCTTGCATCAAGTGCTTCCCAGTCCTGGTCACTGATCCAGCTGTGTTTCGTGCGTGGAGTTTCTGACAGAGCACTTTCGTCCTGGTGCAGTCACGCGCAGCCACAAGATGTGAGCAAGCTCATGGTCAGTACCGTAAGTCCACATACTAGGTCCATGGTACTGCCTGCAGCTGAAACATGCTGAAACAAAACCTGTCCTGTCCGGATCGTTCGCTGGCAACGGGGCCCAACGCATCAGATGAGGGCAGCTTGAGGCTGACTTGCATGGGCTTCGAGGCCTTGACTCAAGCGCATCCCAACGACAAACTTCTCAGCCGACCTTCGAAAGAGCCTTGTGCGACAGATTCTCGGATAACGATCGCCAAGTACGAACTTCAACATTCACATGCTCAGGGATCTTCTCCGCCTCTCTGACCTGTTGTAGTTATTGTAGTTCAGCACGTTCCCCGGCTGACATTTGCACTTCATCTGCACTTCACACAGTGATAGCCTCGTCTCCATCAACATCCTGGGCAGCATCCCCGTCCTCATCCTTTCTCGCCTTGCGTGGGTCATGTCACGCATACGAACCAGGCACACGCTGCCGATAGCTGAAACAAAGCGTTCTAAGTTCGAACAAGAAAAGACTCGAAAGAAAACCATGTTGTCGAGAAAAGGCGTTGTAGCTACGCAGGAGCTGAGGCAGACGGCAACTCTGAGCAGAATCTCACTTTTGCCTCACAGCTCAGCAGCTGGGTTCAACAGCGCTCTTGATCGATTTATTAGGGTAGTGTCTCCCAACTCAGCGGAGGTGAGTGCCGCATGGACTTGGGACCCTCCATGCGTTCGTTGCGCAGATCCCAAGCTTGAAACTGTTTGCATCTCCTCGTCCGAAAGGAAAAAGGACCAAACGTCAGCATTTTCGACGATATGATCTTTGCGTCGGCTTCGTGGCACTACCTGGAAACCCATCTGAATCGCCCATCGCAGGAGCACCTGAGCTACAGATTTCGCACGATGGTCTCGAAGTGCTGGGATGGATAGGAGCACTTCGTCTTGAAAGGCTGCTGCATGGAAGGGGCCAGCTGCCTGGATCATGATTTCATGTTGCTTGCTCCAGTCGGATAATGCGCGTTGGCGATGCCAGGTGAAGGGATTCATCTTTAGCTGCAAAACCTCTGGCAGCTCTCGCCCGTGGGATTTCAAGGCTTCCAGATGGACAAGCTCGAAGTTGCACACTCCCAAGCTCCTCGCCAAACCCATCTTTCTCACCTCCACCATGGCATCCCAGGTTTCAATAATTCTTCCCGGGGATGGCGAGGCCATCATGTAGAGGTCCACGTAGTCCAAGCGCAGCTGTTGGAGACTTTGTCGAATGCCGCGGTGTGCCTCTTGGAACCCGTGTTCTCGAAGCCTTGCTGACAAAAACATTCGGGAACGAGGAACGCTGGACAGGCGAATAGCCTCCCCTGCACTTGACTCATTCCCTACTATGTCCAGCATCCTGTAACCAAAGCTTGTGGCCCATGCAATGGGCTCATATGGCTCCACGTCAGGAATTTGCAGGCCCAGTCTTGGCATCGAGCGGCCACTGCGCAATAATTTGTCGGCTGCAAAATCGGTTGCAGAGGAGGCAGCAAAGCACACTTTGCTCACTTCGCCACAGCTTAGAGTCAGAAGAGCCAGGCTGAGATACGGCCCAGGGGGACATCCTTTCACTCTCATGAAAAGCCTTCTTGGCAGTACGTTTGCTGTGCCCTATGGCATGCCCTGGCAGGCCGCGCCACAGCTTGCCAAGACACCACACTATGCCTAACAAGCGACTTGACGAAAGCTGGCAATAGCGGGTATGGTGCCAACTCGTTGTAACGAACTAGCTGCAAAAGCATCAACATCATTCGTTGGAGCAGCAAGAGCAGCTGGAGTTCACAGACCGTCCAAGGCCTGTGAGTGCGTAAGAGCTAGCGGTGGCGGTGGGGGTGCCTGGGGTTCTGGATGGAATGACGGAGGGTAGTGAGCGAGGGATTACACGAGTGAATTTGTGAGTTAGTGGAGTGCATCGCCGATGGCACGGCTGGAGGAAAGTGCATGAGTGACAGGACGTGTGAGTGAGTGGGCATGTGTGGGCACGTTGCCGCAGCAGCGGCGGCAGCGGCGGCGGCGGCAGCAGCAGCAGCAGCAGCAGAAGCGGCAGCAGCAGAAGAAGCAGCAGTGGCAGCAGCAGCAGCAGCAGAAGCAGCATGAAGCAGCAGCAGAAGCGGCAGCAGAAGAAGAAGCAGCAGCGGCAGCAGCAGCAGCAGAAGCAGCAGCGGCAGCAGCAGAAGCAGCAGCAGCAGAAGCGGCAGCAGCAGAAGAAGCAGCAGCGGCAGGAGCGGCAGCAGCGGCAGCAGCGGCAGCTATGGCAGCTGTGGCATGAGTGAGTCAGCCATAGTGAGTCAGTCAGCACGTGAGGCAGCGAGTGCGCGAGTGAGGGAACAAGTGAGCGGATGCCCTCGGTGGACCTACAGCAACAGGCACATGCAACGAAGCAAGAGCAGCGGGAGCCATGTAATCAGCAGAGTGCCGAGGAGTGAAATTACCGGAGGGGGCGCGCGTTTCCGGACGGCCCCGCCCCTCAGCACACCTACTAATGCAGACAAGAGAGAGAGAGAGAGAGAGAGAGAGAAAGACAAGAGGGAGAGAGAGAGAGACAGACAGAGAAACAGGCAGGGACAGAGACAGAGACAACACACTCACTACGCGAGCTATTGTCATCATCTTAGGGCGCCACTGAATGCAGCGAGTTCACAGGCGACTCGTGGTACTCCTGCATGAAGATAGAGACTTGTAGGCAATGCTGCTGAGTCTGCCACAAGCATCAGCTGTTCCAGCGAAACGGCTTGGGACCACAAATGGTCCTCCTGAACGGTCTCCAGGTCCGGGCTCGAGTTAACTCGGCTGATGGAGTGGCAACCCAACCTTTGCAGAAACGAATCTTGCGAGAAAAGTGCTGGAGAGTGCTGGACTTCTCGACTTAATTTGAGGATGATGCATGGTCCAAAGATTCTCCCACCAGGTTGTATGGTCAAGTCCAGATGCAGCCTCAACACTCGGCATGAAGCCCTGCCAATCAATCATAAGGCAGATGCCTGGCCTTCTTTGGGCGTGCAGTCAACCCCTCAGCGGGCCTTAGACAATGTTGCGGCAAGTTGCGACTGCAATTTCAACGGCAAATACGACGACTGCGTGGCGGACGCCGAAACGGCTCGTTTCGGTGAGGCAAGGCCCAGCCGTTGGAGCATGTAGTTCTCGTCGTCCTTCCAAGATCCAAACGGAGATGACACGGGTGCCCACTACACGAAATTCCACGACACGCTGTGCCTCGTCTGTAGGCTCAATCATCAGCCATTGAAGATCGTAATGGTCGAAGGTTGCAAGCAAGACCAAGGCTGAGAAGTAGTACCTAACTCCAAAGTTACAAGCGTAAAGCCTCCTTCACTTTGCGCAAGGCAAACAACCGCCCGTTTTACCACCCTGTTAAGGTTCAAACCCTTGCTGCCAGTATTCCACCCAAATCCTGAGTGTCCCATGTCTTGCTGTGCAGATGGTGTGAGCTCGTGGATGCTGGGCCGAAGGCTCTCTGACCAGTCGGGTCATGTAGGCCTGGCTGGCAGGTCTTTGGCAGCCGAAGGCTGCGGCGGCAGCTGCAGCATAGCAGGTGGTGCAGGCATGCAGCTTCTATATTGCTTCGACGGCATGATGTGGCCAATTACACATGAAAGCACGGTGGCGGTACGTTCTTGTAGGCAAGCTCGTCGTCCTCGTATGTGGAGTCGCGCCCACCGAAGACGAAAAGGAACACCCGATCCTCCCACACAAAGTGAGGCTTCGCGGCTTGCACACCGAAGCCGGAAGCCTCTAATTGGCATCGAATTTGCCCCGACACTTACTTTACTACACTCGGTATCACCCCAGTCCGAAAATTCAAAACGCCACCTGCCTGCAGGAGACGATCAATGTAGACCGCACCCATGATCTGGTTCAGAGTGGCCTAGATCCGGTGAAAAAGTGGTGCCTCCGGCCCTCGAGAACTGGTTCTTCGGATTGAGGTTGCTGAGGTAGGAGCAAGGATGCTGAAAAGACGATACCACCTCATACATAGGTTCTTGCTTTCGCTTTAGCAGGCTACAAGAAAGTCCCAACAAGCGCCGCACCAAGAGATGTCAGGGTTCACAACTTTGAAACTCACTGCCTGACCCCAGCATGTGCTGGAAATGCACAAGATAGGAGAAACATTACTTTGCATTACAGTACCTTGCAGTTTGCATGTACATGTTCACACACCCCCTCCGGGCACCAGCATCTTGACCGAGAATGCGCTAACAGCAGCGGTGGCACAGAATGCGTGGAAGATGATGAACCTAAGAAGCAGTTGAATGCATCACACTGGGGTGAAGCAGCGCGAGCTAAGCACAGTTAAGGAAGAAGCGACATGGTCAGCATGATGTAGCCAATCGTGTTCCGTCTGTGCCCGCACCTATGCACAGGTGTGTGAGGTTGGCGCACTGATACCATCTGACAAAGGGCGCGGCCAGTGTCAGGAAACAACGTCCGAAACAGCACAGCTGCATTCAGGAAACAGCACAGACAGTCAGAAAGCAGCCCCGCCACAGTCAAGAAACAAGCAAACCCTAAACCCTAAACCCTATACCCTACACCCTAAACCGTAGTTTTCCCGCTTCCCGCTGGTCTTGATGCTGTTTGCCGACTGTTGCCTGGCTGTGTCCTGACTGCCCCCCGGGTGTTTCCGAAATTTTCCCGGTGAATGTGGCCCGTGTTTCCTGAATGTTGCTACTCTGACCTGACAAAGCTCAGGCGAGCGCAGGCCACGCTCAGAAAACCTGCCGACTTCGTGATCCGAGCTCGCAAGGCACTTGAAGCACGCTAGCTGAAACCGATAGGGGGCCCACGATGTCACCCAGTCTTGATACTCGTTCAGGATCAGAGAAGGGTGCACCTGGGTGTACGCAGATCAGTATGACAACCGACGACACCAGAGCAGCTTTCAAATCTGCATTGACATGCGTCATCTACCAGTGGCTAGTGGGCCGGCGCCTTGCTGAGCCGACCCATGACTACCTTGTCCAACTCTAGGCCCAGCCCGAGCATGCGCTCCGGATAATTAGACCAATTCCCGATTCAGCGGCCATGATGCCGGAGGACCAACTTGTACTTTGCACATGTTCTGTCGTCCCGAGGTTCCAGCCCGTGCCATCAGTTTGACGGCAGAGAACGTGCTTGCCTGTCGATTTATTGAAGTCGTGATGCGAGTTGGTTTCAATCACTTGTTCAGCGTTCTGTACTGGACAAGAGGTTAGGTGCTATGGTTATATGTATGTACTGTACCTGCGTGCACATATATTGACACCCCCGGACCCACTGATGTACGTCGTACATTTTGGTTACATTGATGTTAGTGTGATCGACATATCTTTTACATTGGGGCGGCCTGTTTGCACCTTTTCTACGCAACAATCATACCTCAACCAACCTTCATCTACGTTTTGCAATCTTCCTCCGCTTGCCCTGTTGTCCTGACCCTGATGGAGGTTGACTTTGAGAGTGCGTTACTCGTGTATTCCGAAAATGAGGCCACATATTCAAATCTTACGGAGCAGTGAACTGGAATATTTGGAATTGCGCCAGCACAAGGTTCCGTTTGGAAGATTTGCAAACATCCTACAAGTAATACTGACCCCCTGCAGCACACTAGTTTGAGACGTTCTTACTTCTTGCGCTGGCCCCAAGGGGGCAGGTGCCGGGTTTCATGCCACTCCCCAGCACGACAACTCTTCTGGTCAGGCGGCCTACCTGTGGATATAGCGAAGTGGCCCACGCATTTGATCCACAGCCCGGCCAGGGAAGCCGTTCAACTGTGCAGAATGGCTGTAGGCCCTTAAAGCAACTCCAGATTCCACTGCGATTTAGGGTTCATTGCCGGGTTTAGGCCTGAATGGCCCGATGGGCTAGTTACTAGTAACTACCTCTCGGGCTCGGCTGATAGGGATTAGGCTCTCACCAGGGCCCCGCCTCTTCCCGGGCAACCATACCATGAACCGAACCGCCTCAACATTTTCGACACCGAACTGCCGGAAGCGAACCGTCGAAAACGAAACCGCACCAGCACGCGAACCGAAGCGATTCTTTCAAGTTTACAGGAAGCCCCTATGACGAGCACTTTGCCAGGAACCTTCAAGAAAAATACTTCAAGGTCTCAAACATTCTCTAGCCTGTCGTCAAAGAAAAGCCATTTTCGCGTGTGTGCTTTGCAGTCGAGATGTCGTGCTGCTTCATTGAATGCAGGGCCGACTGTTTCATTAAACGAGCCATGCCGTGCATCCCTATCGTGCGTGTCTGCGTGTGCGTGTGCGTGTGCGTGCGCGTGCGCGTGCGCGTGCGCGTGCGCGTGCGCGTGCGCGTGCGCGTGCGCGTGCGCGTGTGCGTGTGCGTGTGCGTGTGCGTGTGCGTGTGCGTGTGCGTGTGCGTGTGCGTGTTCGTGTGCGTGTGCGTGTGCGTGTGCGTGTGCGTGTGCGTGTGTGTGCGTGTGCGTGTGCGTGTGTGTGTGTGTGTGTGTGTGTGTCCTGCAAACATTACAAAAAGACAGACCTTGGGGGGGGGGGGGGACTTGTGTATATGTGCATTTCTTAGTTGTTCTCTTTATTCTCAGGGCATGGGAACGATACCACCAAGGCACTGTTCTCCCGGCCTGGGGTAGGAGAGTTTGAAAGAAGTAGCCAATAGCGTTGTATCGCTTGTACCTCGAACATCTTGCAGCAAGATCGGTGATAATCTGCGTGGTCCTACAACCTGTTAGGACCTGACCTGGCTCCACCAGCCCCATAATCCATGTACCGCACATTGCATGACCAGGTTCGAGCAGGCTTGTGCGCACTCCGACTGCTCACAACATGCCATGTACAAGATGTAGACAACCCAGACCTTTGCAAGCAACACGGAAGTCACGCTGCTGGTCATCTGCAATCAGATCCCTGATCAGCTTCCAACCAGTTGCGTCATCAGCCAGCCAACCTACGGGACAAGGAACAATGTTCAGCACAGGAACGCCCGAGCTTCACCACGCAATTACACACGTCCGCCTCCCAAATCGAAACCATCACTGCGGCAGTAACGATCGTCAATCGTGTCCTCGGCAAACATTCTGTATCTTACACTTGCCTGATCAAGTCTCTCTGGAGATCTCTGGAGTAACTGAGTAACTGATTCGCCAAGAACCTGGCGTGGGATCGGAGATCATGCCGAAGATGCTGCCCTGGATGCGCTGACAACACATTGACAACATGCCGATTTTTCACCTGCACCACAGTGCCGCTGTGGTGCTTTGCGGTGCTGATGTGTGGTGCTACGTAGTGCTGCGGGCTGTAGCTGGACTCTAACTGGCCTTGAACATTGGGTCATCGAAGAGCTCTGCCTGCGTGAAGCATCTCAAGCATCGCAAACATCACTACCAGGACATACCCTGCATCAGCGATTGGAGTCGCTGCCTGAATGTCTTGCTTGGACTGGCTGCCACCACCATTGGAGAGGCGAACTGCGCACAGACTGTCAAGGGCGTGTGGATTGCACAGGGTCAGCGGTCTAACCACAAGGGTTTAACGCTGGAGCGAACAAACTTCGGATGGAGGTTCTGCGGCGATCTGAGGTGCGGCAGCAACTCTAACGACACGCGGCGTTGTATTCTTGGGAGCATGTGGAGCATCGCCTTTCTCGAAAGCTCGACACAATACGAGTGCTTCGAGGCCCTGACCTACTACTATCAGTGGCTTGATTTCAGCATTATGCACATTATGAAGCAAGGTCAGAGAAAACCAGCCATGGCATGACAGGGCGGGTGCATGCACGCGTGCACGTAGCAAGACCTTCCACCTTGCTTCCACCTTGTCTTTAGTTCGGTCCAGATTGCTTCTGGAATGCTCGGGCATGAGCATTTCACCGATCGTCTACATGATGATACTTGTGCGATAGTGACCGATAGTGTGCTCACTTTTGCTGGGTTCACATGTCGACGTGACATCTTCAAAGCTCGCATAGTCACCAGGTTTCCGCTTCACCCCAAGATGCCATGTATATTCCGTCAACGAGGCCAAGTAGTTTAGGAATACGGACGTACAGCACATTGCAGCACTCCATCCCTCGACTTCCTTCTCTGGTGAGCGCATAGCTCTGACCACTAGTGTCCAGCGTTTACTCACAGGTTCTCACAGGTTCTTGAGTCGAATCATGTCGTACCTAGTGTGCAGGAACGCGGTGCACCCGCCTGCAATGCCATGCAGGTCCCACGTGTGGAAGACTTCTCTGAAGTACGTCGTGAAGATTTGCCTGAGCCGAGGGCAAACCGGACTCGATTCTTGCTGCAGAAAGTGTGGAGAAAATTGGAAGACGAGGATGGGAGCTGAGAGCTTCTCCTCAATGTCCCTACCCGGCAATTAAAAGGACCCAGGGTGCCAAGTTGATGCCTCAATTTTCCACCCCACCCCAAGGGGTGGATTTCGTCAATTTTTGGGAGGTCTGAAAGACTACAAGTTTGATGCGGGCTTTTTCTGCCCTTGTGCTCTGGTACTCCTCCCTGCTGTACTCACCCGGAGAAAATTTCTTTTTTTGTGGTGCATCTTCCACTTTGGGCTTGGGCTTTTTAGGCATTGTGAGCGACAAGAGATTATACCGGCAGCGTCTGGCAGATAACTACGGACCCAACCCAGTTTTCACTGGGCCCGCTGTGCATTGCTTGACTGGCTCACTCCTTTCTCTGGTTGTTCCCCTGTCTCCTTCTTTGTCTCTCTCCGTCTTTGTGTTGCTTCCCCGCCAATCGAGGGGGTGGGATCAGCAGCATTGAGGCATAATATCCCGTTCCGCTCTCGCAGTCTCTCGGCCTTCCTTCCTTCTTGCGCACTCAACCCACTCCCACTATCTCGCTCCGTGTCTTTCTCGTTCTCTTTATTTTCTTTCTTTTCTTTCTTTTCTTTCTTTTCTTTCTGTTCTTTCTTTTCTTTCCTTTCTTTCTTTTCTTGTTTTTTCTTTATTCTCTTTCTTTTCTTTCTTTCTTTCTTTTCTTTCTTTTCTTTCTTTTCTTTCGTTTCTTTCTTTCGTTCTTTCTTTCTTTCTTTGGCGGGTCTCTCTCTCTGTCTCTCTGGCTTCATGTTTCCCAGGAAGCGGCCAGTCCAGGTGTATGAGGTACCAGATGTTGAAGACCACAGATATGATCAGAACGAAGAACCAGAAGTACTTCCTCGCGACATGCATCTCAAGTTGCGGTGGTGTGCAAAGGGCGCTTCCGGGGGCGCTGCTGTGGAGAATCAAGCTCCCTCACCGCATTCAGCCCACCACATTTCTGGCACTGGTCGCATTCACTCAAGACATGAGGACATGTGCAGTCGAAATGTAATCTCGAAGGGGGTATCCTCCAGCTGCAGGTCGTGCAGAAACTCGGGCCTCGTCGCGTCCGGCCGGTCATAGAATGTTGAGTTGTTTGTGGCATCTCGTTCACAATTTCCGAGTCTAAGAGCTCCACTCGTCCTCATTCTTAAATTTGTCATACACCAGGCGCGAAAAGTCCTGTTGAAAATGCTAAAGAGCCCCTCAGGAAGCCACTGCAAGTACTGCACGGAGCAATGTCCTCAGTGATGAAGCCCTCCTTGACCAAAGCATTAAGATCCTGGTCTGGGGCCGCGAATTGCACAAGATCCCTGCGCAGATCCTGGCAGCTGTCATGCCAACAGCGAGAGGCCAGCAGTGCTGATCTGTCTTGACGCACTTTGATCCATCCGCAACAGTTGGGCATCTACCAGGCCACACTCAAGCCACGCTCCTCTGTCAGCGCTCGGTTCCGCAGCTGTGGTCTCAGTGCATGAGGCGTCTAGTGCATTTTCAGTCACAACACATGAAACGTGCTGGAATGCATAGGCCAGTGCAGCCTAATGCGGCATGCACCGTCAGGATGAACCGCATTCAAGACAATTCAGGCATATTCAGGCTGCGACTGCATGGCAGACTCCAAGTCTTTCCAACGGTCCTGCATGATCTGATCAGACGCTGCTGGGAAGATTTGAGTCTGCATCCAGACCAATTAGAAGGGTCGAGAGTTGTTCTTTTTCAGCAGAGAATGGAGCTTAGATTCGTTGAGACTAATTTTGGACATGGGTCCTGGAGGTAGCCAAGCCCAGCTCCTGACAACGTCACGACGGCCACTTTCATCCGCTTTCCAGAGTAGTTTCCAGAGGTCCTCCATGGCCCAGGCTATCTAAGCCTCCAGGAAGAGATGAAGGACGCCGCGATGTGATGGTCTCCTCCTTGCAGCAACGACTCAACTCTAAGAGACGAAGAGCAAGCAAGACTAACCACGACTGCATGACGAAAGCACGTGGGGCCTCGCCGAAGGTGGCTAGAATGTCGTTGACGCGTGTGTGGCGACCGAGACTGAAGCTACCCTCAGTGCTAACTGCTTTGCAACTTCGTCGCATCCGCCGTGTGACCCCTATGCAGCCATCAGACTCGAGTTATCTGAGGGCAGGGCAGGACCATTAAACTGCGAGTTCCTCTCAGGACATAAGGCTCACACCCCACAGCCATATACGTATCTGTATATATAATACTCACCCCCCTCCCAATGGACGACAAAGAAAAAGGGGCAGAAGGGGGAGAGAGGGGGAGAGAGGGGGAGAGAAGGGGAGAGAGGGGGAGAGAGGGAGAGAGGGGGGAGAGAGGGGGAGAGAGCGAGAGAGGGGGAGAGAGGGGAGAGGGGGGGGGGAGAGAGGGGCGGGAGAGAGGGGGGGAGAGGGGGGAGAGAAGAGACGAGGGGGGGAGAGAAGAGAGGAGGGGGGGAGAGAAGAGAGGGGTGGAGAGAAGAGAGGGGGGGGAGAGAAGAGAGCGGGAGAGAAGAGAGGGTAGAAATATATGTGTGTATATATATATATATATGGCACCCCCCCATATGCCCACACTTTTTCCTGTCAGGTGCCATGGTAGGGTCTAGAGACTGAGGATTTCGAAGCCTCTTAGGCAGCGAGCACGAAAGCGCTCTACTGTACCAATGTTTTAGGCACAAAAGAGCAAAAACGCTGTACTGTCCCAAAATACAATCTTTTCAAGCCAAAACAAGCAAAAATGCTGTACTGCCCCCAAAAACACACAAAATATGTAAATCAAATTAAAAAAACCTTGGACGCCACATGGCCTGGAGGTCTAACTTTGGTTTTTGGTTTTTTTTGGGACAGTACAGTATTCTTGCACTGTTTGCTTGAAAAAACATTGGTTTTTTGGGACAGTACAGCACCTTGCAGGCCTGGGACTGCAAAAGCGCTGTACTGCCCTATTAAATTTAGCAGGGTCCTCTTCAGTATATTAGGATCCCTATCAAGTATAATTGGGTTCTCATTAACTTTAATCGCGTTCCTATTCACGTTAATGGGCTTCCGATTAACTTTTTATACAGTTCCGATTGATTTTAATAGGGTTCCTATGGATTTAAATGGAGGATTCCTATTTTCTGCTCATAAGATGCCAATCAATTTTCATAGTTTGCCTGTTTATTTTAAACCAAGGCCCCAGCTTCAAGCGATCTTAAGGATTTAATCATCATGATTTACGACAATGTGTATATAGTAGCTGGCAGAATATGGAGGACTGTATATGCTGCTCTACAAAACATCATTGTGATCCGGAGTCAAACTGAAGAGTTCAAACAGCGAAAGTGTAAGAATACTTGTTTGCAACAAATCCTGAGCAACGAGCTAGTTTCAACGAATGTCTAAAACAATCTGGAAAATGTGGGAATCTGGGAATCTGGAAATGTGGGGTGAGAAAATCTGGGAATCTGGAATCTCATACGATTTGTATGCGAGAGGTAGGTCTTGGGGGGCGGGGGGGTCAGTTCATAAATCTTTCTTTCTTATATATGCTTATGTCTTATGTAGGTTGATGTTTACATATACACATATATATAACACCTGATGAAACATCTGAAGCTGCCAGCGGCCTCCTGGTCAACCGCCGGAATGCAGCACGACGATGAGGTGACCTTCACGAACCGACACATTTTTTATCACAGGACAAGTAGAGAGAGTAACATTATAGTCAGTGCTACGACTGCAAGCTTGCGAGGCATGTCAAGCCACCGATCGGCGGCAATGGATCCTCGCCGAGTCCTCGCATGCGGCGCAGAGGTCAAACGATGACAAACGTCTTGCATGGTGATTGCATCTCCATGAGGTCTCCGTAGGGTTTCCGGATGTGCTCTATAGACTGACTGGTGGGATGGTTGATATTCGTTGTGTGCGTGTGTGTGTGTGTGTCTTCTCTCGTATGTTCTTGCTCTCCTGGCTGTCATCACCTCGCGGTTCATCAGAGAGGCCAGCCGTGGACGCCTTCTTTGTCTGCGCATGTGCCCACTGCAGAGCATCCACCCAAACTGCAGCTTGGCGGCACTTCAGGATCATCTAGTAGATTGATCCTCACAGCAAGAAACAGCAACACAGCTTGCAAGAATTTGCAAAATCACGCAAGTACGTGTGCCACGAAAAAACCTATTGACCTAGTGTTTAAATTTGCATGCGTGTTTGATACAAATTGGTGGACTTGTGCTGCTTGGGTGTTTGGCTTGTGGGTTTTGGGTTGATGTGTTTGGGTTTCTGCTTAAAAGTGCCTGGAGGTCAGGATTTCGGCTTGCGCTTTTGTGGCTTTGGGTAAGGGAAGATGCCAGGCTTAGACAATAGGGCGTAGACAACACGGCACCTGGCGTGACACCAACTTGATGCTAGAACTCCAAGCAGGAGCACTTGGAATCCGCTGGGCGGCTGGTCCAGAAAACTGCGGCAGTTGTTCGGCTTTGCAGGGTTTGCGCAAGCCTTGCTGCCGTGAAATTCCTGGCCTCCGTCTCAATTCCTGACCTTTTCTCAACTCGTCACCTGCGCTTTGACAAACATAACCTGGGCCTGCAGTCAGGCACAGACGTGCTTAGTTAGTGCTGAGCGTGGCTGGGTACCAAACCCATTCTGTGCCACGACAAACACCTTCCCCTGCTGTGCGTTGTTGTGGTTCAATTCTTAGCTCTCCTCCACTGTGTTGCACTGCATTCGAGTCTAGTGTTCTGCTCAATTTTGTTACACTCAGCTGGTGTACTCAGCTGTTCAACGTCAGAGCTGGTTACTTTGCACAGGCTCTCCATGCAAGCGCATCGTCAAACCCTAAACCCCCCACCCGGAAAGCTCTAACCCTGAAGGAACAACTCATCCTAATCAAAACCCCAATGGTGCACAATCGTTGGTTTCACTGACCATCTACACCGAACCCCAAGGCAACCATCTCCTTGACCATGCATTGCAGCCCAAAACACGAACGTAAAGCAGCTCTGCTGGCTCCTCACAGGAGATACCCTCGAAGGACTTGGAGGGCGCATGGCCGACATGCTGCAGAGATTTCAGCAAAGCACTCGCCGAAATTCGAGACAATGACAACCGAAATCTGCAAGAACCGCGTGGCAACCCATCTCGCCAGGGATGGTTTGTCTGCTGTCGTGCTTTATTTACTACCTTTCAGATTTACTTCTGAGCCTTTCAGGTTTGCTTCTGAGCCGAACAAGGACAGTTCCGGCGAGCGCTGTCCAGCGCACAAGGGCCTCACAAAAGGTTCGAGTGTCTCATGCAATGCGTCCACATCGTCCACTTTGACTTCCAACGCCAGCACGTGAGGACCAAACCACAAGCCAATTAGGCATTGTGGGCATTAGCCAAAGGCTTGCACCCTGAAGATCCTCAGTCACCGACACCCAGATCGTGCATGCAGCAGGATCTAGACCGTGTAGACTAGGTAACATGGCATAAAGCATCCATAGAAACTGGAGCCACCGCCTAACAATGAGACCACTCGGAACTGAGATGCAGGGCTTTTGCGCTTGGCAGGAACAGGCTACAGCAGAAGTTGCACTGCTCCTTGCATGAAGCTCAAACTGTGTCTGCTAAGCCAAGGAGCACAACCCAATGTGATAAGGCTAATCAGCTACTGGGCAAGCCGACTACGTGCGATCACTGCTACACATTCTGAAAGTCACGACAGTTAGCTGTTTCGGAGCTTCTGAGAGTTGTCGCTTGGTGGGTCAAAATGCGGCGTTGGACCTTATCAGGAGGTTTAATCAATACTTAATGTCGCGGGGAGGGAAAGGGGGGGTGCTTCGGCAGCACCGTGGACTCTAAAAGCCTAAACCTTAAACATTGCAAACAACAAACGCCCCAACCTTGTCATTCCTTACAGGCCATGTCACAAGCCTGCAACCTTACGCCGTGAGCAGCACGCATTAAACAACGAGGTCGGCTGGCTTCGTTACCCCCCTGCTCAAGTGGAAGTGTTGACAGCCTGTGCACAATTTGCATTGATCAGGTTTTGGCCTGGCTGACTGAGTTTGCTAGCTGTGTCGAACTGGTCGATTCGAATTCCGGAGCGCTTGGCATCTGCGCTGCATTCCATGCCAGATCCGACGAAGCTGGGGACCGGCGAAAAGCTATTTACATGCTTCCCGAAGATTAGGCACTTGGTACCCTGGTGGAACTAACCTCACTTGCTTGAGACGCAGGCGATACCACCTGCACCTGCCCAGAACGCATGTTGCGACCAGCGACTGCGCCATGAAGTCTAACTTTCCTCATCATCCAGACCTCACCATCCATGTCAGGGTGATTGCCTGCGCAGAGAAGGACTGTTGTCGGATATCACAAGCATCGTGCATGCCACTGCATTCGCGCGCAAAGGCCGGCACGGAACAGGTGAGCAGCATCGTCGTCGCCTCAACATGCGCTTGGGCCAACATCCAGAGTCGGAGGATGCCAACACAGTGCTGGCCTGTTCCAAACAGCTGCAGCACTGTGTCCGCAGCCTCTTGAAAGATTGCCATGATACAGGTGTAGACTAATGAATCATAAAGCTGATGTTCAATACGAAGCTGGCAAGCAGGCAAACCAGCAAACTGTTGTGGCTTCTACGCCCATCCAAGAGGACGGTTCTCAAGCTTTCGGTGCCTTCACTAGCACCTGTTGCCACGAGTCTGGATCCTTCACCTGATTACTTGCGCAAGGACGTGCAAGGGTTCACCAAAACATGTGGAAAGATTTGGAGAGCGACTGAGCAAGTAGACACTCCAGCAGGCAGTACGAGACATCGCCGAAACATAGCTTGCACTTGTCTCTGAAGCGTACTGCAAACAGTCACCAAGCAACACCAGCACCACCGCTAGCCACTATCACTACAGCGAGCGCTCTCGTGCTGGATCTTCCAAAACCGAGCAGACCATGTTGCTGACCTCTTCGCCGAGAAGATCAGTGAGCCTATCCGCCTTCTGCCCCGGAAGGCCTGGACCTCCATATCCAAGGCAAAGCAAATGCAAAGCAAATGCCTGTGGGCTCTTAGGCTCTTAGGGTCTGTGCCTATCTCGATGATCTCGCCGATGGTATTCAGGACATCACCTCACCCAGATTCATGATGATAACAATGATAACACACTACTGGACACGGGCCGCACATTTTTTTTGGCAAGACATGCCCCAACAATGATACCTTGACAATCAGTCCGGGACTCGCAGACAGGGCGGAGTCGGAGTCGCGGCACTGAGCGTTTCACTTCTTGAGTCTTTGAGTCTTGAATGTCGACAAGAGCTGCTCCCCAGGTGCACTCTGAGAATGTGGCCGCGCTTGCGACCAGGAACCAGCCCCCAACCTCCTCGAACTTGCTGGCCAGACGGCATGACTTGCAAATTACCTGCAGGACAGGTGGCCGGGAATCTGCTGGCGCATGAATGACTTGCGTCCGCGAAGCCTCAGATGAAGAAAACTGTGTGCCAGATGCGTACCAGGCTTCGGCTCCTGAGATGCCACAAAGCGTTTGGCAGCCAATGCAGCCATTAGGAGCCCCAATGCACAGGGAAGGCCTTTGAAGGCCTTGCCCATGCACATGCATGCCACCGCTACCAAGGCCAGCACCCATCCGAACGCGATTCTGGCACCAGTCGCATGTCACCATTTCATCCTCGACGTTGGGCTATTTAGGGCTAGTTAGCTCCAAGATTTTCTTGTGCCTTCAAGTGAGGCTTCCACATTCGGATACCAAAGATCAGGAATGCATTTGAAGCTTTCAATCTCAATCTCTCTCGGCCTTGATTGCAAATGGCAAGGTGCATTGCAAAGTCTGCACAAACAGAGGTGCAGCACATGTCGATGCCCTGCCCTAAGAACAAAAGGACCTCTCAGAAGCTGTGCGGCGCGCTGATTGGTGTCGAAAATCACCTGCCACGTGCCACAACTTCTCCAACCACACTGTGGCAGGATACAAGGCTAAGGAGGGTGCCGGGGGGGTGAGAGCATTTGAAAGACGGCCGCTTGAGTCCGTTCTGAATCAAGGATAGAATCCCTGGCCTTGCCCGGTTTGCACTTTGCATCCTGGAGGATTTGAAAATCGTGATACTTCAAGGCATGAAGTGCAAACAAGCGACATGGACCCACGGCTCCTCAGAGTTTGCCGAGCGCAGCAAGGGACGCAGGGGTGCCGATTCACGATGAGGAAGTGAGCTGAACAGCAGGAAGCGTGCATCGTTCATTGCTTCCGCTTGACATACACTGACTTGTTGAAGCTCGTCCACGAACAGAAGAAGTACTACATGTGTGCCATAAAAAGACAAGACCACCAATGTCGCAGACGGCCATTTTTGTAAGGACCTGTGGCTAAGAGCTCCAAAGTTTTTGTCGTTGGGTCAAAGGCCAAGCGAGAGGGACAAGACAGGTTTCCTTGACTCAGGAATTTAATGCCAACTGCGTTGTTCCTCTGGCAGTCCACGACTTGACATATTTGCCTGACGAGCATCGAGCTGAACAGATTTTACGCCTCCGTTCACCTCGGTTCCTGCACCTGTTGTCTTCAAGGGCCTGCCGGGCACTCATTCTCTTTGCGTTTTTTCTCACTGCAAAGCGTGGGTTTCCTAGGTTTTTACTCAGCTGTTCTTCCCGCCCGGTCTCCTACAGAGAATCCCTCATGACCGCCATTGACCGCCCCCCAGAGAATCCCGCAGAGTCTCCCATGGCGTGACAGCTTAGTTTCAGGGCATCTGTGAAGCAAACATGTAAATGCGAACTCACTCGCGAGGCGATTCCATTCAGCACTAAACACAAGAGACAAGGACAGAACAATGATTCCTAGACACCCACGTAGTCCTGTCTTCTTTCTTGGATTATAAGAAGAACTAACATGTGTTACGCCATTCTTTTGTGTTAATGATTCAGCAGTTGAACACGATGTCATCCTGTCAGACTGGAGCCCTCCCTGACTTGACGTGCAGCACACGTGCTGAGTACATTACGACATGTGACATGATTTTGCACGTCTGATTCTGACTCTGGCTTCATGCAAAGCAGTCGAACTTTCAAGATGCTCGCCAGCTAAAGCTTCTCCATTTATCAATGAAGCAAACAGCAAACATGCATTCATGCAGACGGGCTTGGAAAATCAATGGAATTTGCCGACCCATGCGACTCATGTGAATCAAACAGTCGAACGGCCTGGGTCGAACTTCAGCATCTTCCTGAACACTCGCCGGGCCTTTGCTTCGCAGCTTCCAAGCGGCAGCAGCGGATTGGAAAATAGTGGAAGCTTTTCTGAAATTTCGCCATGCCTGGCCTTCTCCGCTTACCTTGCCACCGTGGGGTTGCCTCACACGGAAAAGCCATGAAGGAACACCACCGGCTGAAGACTCTTGAAGAGATGGCCTCGTGCATCTGGAGCGTGGTTCTATGAACTCTGCCTCAGAGGTTGAACGTCAACCTTCAATGAAAAGTTCGACAGCCTCGCCAAGATTCGGGCTTTTACATGCCTGCCTGGCCGGCAGACCGCACAACCGCACAGCTCAGACAATGGATTATGATGCCAACCCAACCTCCACGGACGCGAGAGGGGCATGGCTTCTCCTGTTTGACCTGCCACGCCCAAGAACCAGGCAAATCAAGTACCGTAGGACGCTGTGCTTGATTCAAAAGATCATCCGACGGTTTCTTTTCCAGATAGCAGCTTCTGTGCACACTTTGGCGCCGGGAGCTTGATAGCTGCAGCATGTCGACGAGAGGCTTCTAGAACCAGTTTGCCATCGAAGAGTGTCTCCGTCTGCTTTTGCATGAGCTGGACACGACCTTGTCGTCCATTTTGCTTTGATGCAAATGGTGAAGATGTGGATCTTCCCGTTCTCTCAACGTCATGTCGAAGGTTGCTCAGACGAGGCAAGCCGAAGAACGTCGACTGCGCCTGAACGTATCAACTTGCAGCGGACAAAGTATGGACGCGGGACATGAACTGCATGATTATTGCATGCCACCGCACCAGGCACCCACTCTCCGTGGAAAGAATATGGCACGTGGCCAGGCAATTGTACCTGATGTCTAGGTTTGCTGTCGGTTGGAATGCAAGGTGCCGTGTGTCGGCCCGGTGTTAGAACACGGCCTCTGCAACTGGACCAGCTGAGAGGTGAGCACCATCAAGGATGGCCAAGAACCTTGGCCGGCCAGCTCGGCCAAAAAGGGTGCGCCGAACGGGTTCGGTCATGAACATGTTCCCGGAAGTCCCAACTCCCACACGAGGCCTGAGAATACCCACAAAGAGGAGGCCTGCAAGAGTTTTTGCTTGTCCCTGTTAGGTCCTGGGGCCAGCCACGCATCCACTCATCCACTCATCCACTCAGACACTCAGACGCTCAGACGCTCAGACGCTCAGACACTCACCAGGGTCTAAGCATGGTCTAAGCGACCGAGTGTCTGGCTTTGGCTCTGCCCTGTGAGGCTCAGACTTTGAGTGACTGAGAGACGGGGTCCAGCCTCCGAAAATAGAACTGTAAGCGTCTGAGTGACTGAGTTTGCTCTGGGCGGCTGAGTGCCTGAAGGTCCGAGGGACTGGATCTGGTTTGAGCGACTGAGTGACTTAGCGCGACTGGTTTCAAATACGGGCCGCTGGGTATGAGCAACTGAGGAGAGCGTGAGTCGCTTAAACCAGATCCAGTCACTCTGCCGCTCAGAGCAGACTCGGTCACTGAAACGCTTAAACTTCTATTTTCGGGGGCTGGACCCCGTCTCTCAGTCACTCAACGTCTTGAACTGCCTGAATGTAGGGTAAACTTAGAGCGGACACGCTTGAGGCCACTCACTTGTAACCGCTTGAAGTTCTCAAGGAGGTGTTTGCCTTTGTACTTCTTGGCTTGGGCGGGAATGTCTTTGCCTATTGTCTCAGCCACGTCCCACAAGTAATATTCAACAGCCTGCCAATTCAGCTCTAAAGGCCCCCATGCGTGTTGAGATGCATTGTCTCTTCAAGGTTTCCTTGGCAGATTGGACATGAAAGGAGTTCAGCTGCTCGAATGTTGCATCGAAACCGTCCGCATTGGAGACTCGGCAGCGCTTTGATGGGTCTGGCATTGGATTCTCCACAGATGAATTAAGGAGAGAAATTAGGCGTGACGATCTTCAGTCGGTGTTTCAAGTTCGTCATGATGTCGACTTGTCAGCTCCGGGTTGACTCGACTCGCTTGAGGAACAGAAGTGGAGATGACGGCAAGTGTGTCGGCACGCATCTTTGATGACACTCGCACGTTCGACCACTATCCAATACTTGACTGCGCTGGGAGCAAAACTACACCAAGACACTCGTTTTCAATTGCATTGCTGAAGATAGCATCCTGATCGGGATTGCTTCTCGATGCTAAGTGTCTGATCTTGCAAGCTGACATGCCTTATTTCTACTGGTATCATCGTCTTGAATGTCATAAGGATGTGTTTAAGATGAGTTTCTTGGACTGGTCTTGGCTCTTGGCTGTAGAATGTCTAGTCTTGCCTTAACCATGGGATGGAAGATGCTTTCTCTTTTCGGGACTGATAGGCCTCTACAGTCTGAGGAGGCGATTTCAACATTGGAGATTTTTCTTCAGTAGGTTCAATCTGCTTGTCTGATCTATTTCGCATTGCGATAAGATGAGGTGCTCTATCCTGCTGGTTCTGGAGCTCAGAAAGAGCTGGCCTGCTTGTTGAGAAGACACTTCAGGCAATGACGCCATGAGTACTACGCTTTGGAAGCTCGATTAACTCAGCATCTAACGGGTGCCCCTCCGCCACCTCGCTTCTGCATTTACAGCGCTGTTTGTGGCTTGCAAGTTGGTATCTGAGTCCTCGAAGCAATGGGCAGCGTCACCAAAAGGGTTTCTTGCTGGTGGGCGAATTGGTGGAGTAAGTGTCTTAGTTTTTCGGGGCGTGCCTTGGCTTGAAAACATCTGATATGCGTCCCTTCATGTGTTTGATGTGCCATCTGCTCTGTCTTCTCCACTTGTGGTGCACAGTAAAACTGGCTACAAATGCAGAAAGAGTGAAGTATGCATGCAAAGCTGAGTGCGTTGCGACGTGTGGGTTTGAGAATCGTACACATAGGTACAGACGTACCTGCGTGGCACAGGGGCGATTGCCACCCGTCGAACTGAACCATCGCTCTTCTCTCCGGAATTTACCGCATGCCATCAAAGATTGACCGCAGGGTTTACAGGGCATCCCACGAAAGCCCTTGAAGATGCAGGAGCTACTGCCCCCGCTCTTGCCTTTCGCCCCTCTTTACTCTTGCCCAGCGGCGCCGCCAGTTCTTCTGAAGTGGATGGCTTGGGGAGGATCATCCTGAGGAACTGCAGCAGCTATGCTAAGCCATTCATGGCCACATCTTATCATTCTTTATCTTTGACTACCCTGAGCCTGGAGCCGCAATGTGCTGACAGCTGCCACTCTGCCCGGTCACGCATGCAGCCCCTTTGCATGCTTAGACTCGGCTCGCCCGCAAATTGTCCCGGGCCAAAGCACGCCCGATCCACGACATTACCATCAATGTCCAGTCGCTCCACACAATTGAGAAATGCCTCAGAGTGTTCATTCTTTGTGTCCCCAATCAAGTTGTGTTACGCCTTCTCGCGTTCTGGAAAGAAGACATTGAGGGACATTGCTGCTTCATTCACATAATTTCACTGCAGTCAAAAGGAAGCGACGGCGTCAGATGGATATGCGGCATTGGTCCAGACGTGCTTGTTTCGGCCTGGGCACACTTGCATCCGGAATGTCCAACAGGTCAAGTGAGTCAAGTGCAAGTGACTGAAGCACGCCAACTAGTTGCAGAGGATTAAGTCTGTCAAGACGCGGCCAACGAAGGCTGGATGTATGTTGGGAAGTTCGAAGGTCGAAGCGGCTTGTGGCCCCAGCTCGCCTGACCACTTGAGCGAAGATTCAAAAAGGCTTTTGCCTGTGGCTTGTCCTTCCAAAAAGGCTTCACGCTTACTTCACACTTGCAACTTCCCTCTTGGGCGAGGGCTGCTCGAAATGCTTCCAGATGCCAGGTCCAGACGAAGCAGCTTCAAGGAACAGCGAGTTGTGTCTGACCATGTGCTCCGATACATGTCCTTGGGATATTCAGAGAGACTGTGTAGATCATGCAAAACGACAATGATAATTTGAACGAGTCTGCGCCTCGCAACTCGGCCGATAGCAGTCTGCCAAGGGTCTCCGAAGTTTCGTTCGACATTCTCTCGAGGTCCATTGTGTGCAGCTATCTGAAGCCATACGGCAGCACCAGCGTCATCATCATATGCATTGACCTGCAAGCTTTGTGCGGGCTCGCAGCTATGGGTTGGTTCTGCAAAAGTATCGAGTCATGTTGCCGGCCGTGTGGTAAAGCGAAACTGCCGGCTTCAACGATTTGTCGAAGACCTTGGCTAGCATTTGCTTGCATGTGATGATTGCTTTGTACATTTGGAGTGCGCCATTGGACCAATTGTGCTCCCACGAATCTGAACCTTCCTCACGATTGCTGGAACATATCCCACCTTTACCAACATTGTTCCGCGAGTATCGACTCTGCAGTACCGGACTGAGCTCGTTCGATTCCGCCGCTGCAGTATTCAAATGTATTCAGACTAGCTGTGATACCAAGACACGGTAGACAAATCACTTCGCCGGAGCACAAGCAATCTGGTTCCTGCGTCTTCTTTCCACTCAAAGAACTGTCCCAGCGCCCCCTTCCAGAGACTCGTTGCAAGACCGCTTGTCGAACAAGACCAAGGAGGAATGATAAGAACTACATACTCACGCGTGATGGCAAAGTCATGGACAAATGTAATATCTGCCAAGGGGATGCCAGTCCTCTCCAACAGCAGTCGATCTGCCGAGCACTTGTACACTTCCAAGCTCGGCTCGAGCCCAATCTTCAGCCCTATGTTAAAGAGCTCTCCAGATTCTGGGTCCTGTTTTGGATGCGCAGAGAAAAACTGCACTCCACTTTGCTGGAGGGACGGATGACGGAAAAGCTCCTGGCCCAACGTCTCCAAGGTACCAGGATCTAAGGCGTATGGTGTACCTCCTTCGCACAACGCCAGCAATCGATCACCCCACCACAGCACATTGGTGTTTGCAGGGTTCGTCGGCAGCCTGAAGATATTTGATAGCAGATCGCCGTTCGCAGAGGGTGTCCATGCACCCATCAACGCCATGCCAGAGCCCCTCTCGGTCTTGAAGAACGCCTCGGGCTTCTGTTGCGCTTCGAACCGATTGGTCTTGACAAAGCGGGAAGTAAAAGCGGCCTCTTGCTGCTTGCCATCCACAGTAAGGGCGGTTACGAATCCATCACCATCAAACCAATGCCCATATTGGGATTCTCCAATTCGTATTCGCCCTGGCCCATTTCTATAGACCGTTCCAACAAGATCTTCAGGCAAACGACCTAAAAAAGTCAGCCTTGTTGGTTTGGACTCTTCTGCAGGCTCCAGACCCCTGCGCCATGGGCTCTCTTCAAAAAGTGCTTCCAGCTGTGACTGGCATGAACTCCGAAAAACACTCTGTATCCTGCCTCGCTGCCTTCGGGTCTGGGAGTGCCACAAGATGCCCCCAGCCATGGCTGATGCTAAAGATGCATGCGTCCAGGCTTGACGCCATGCTTGCCCTTTTCGGTGTCTTCCCTCCGCCAGGTTCACCGTGACCGTCACCCCTTTCCAGCTTCTCCATGTCCGCAAAGTGGCTGCAACCGCAAAACGATCAGGTGCTGGCTGCACCCGGTGCGTGGCCCATGCACACGCTCCCGGAGCCAGGGCCATCTGCGACTGCGGCCAAACGACCAATCCTCCAAAGCTAAGTTGCCACTTGTGTAATGAAAACCGCACTTGATGCAGGGCATGAACCGACATGAAGTTAAACAGCCGCATGCCTGGGTCTGACTCTGGGAAGTTTATGGCAAGTTCACTCATGCACGAATCTACCGTGAAAACCGCATGAAAGAGCTGCTGACAAGGTGCGTCCTGTTCAATCACGGGTCTCTTGTCAAGGGAGAATTAGATGACAGGGGTGTTTGCTTGTCCTTTCCTTTGCTCTTTTGTAGGGTGCATTCGTCACGTCCACGAGCTCAAGATAATAACAATATCTGCCAAGGAACTCCGGTGAGAACAGTGACTATGTATTATCAGCCAGAAACCCATGTCATGCCTCTTACAGCTGATCGAACTCTAAACACTTGGCTCTCACGTCTCGAAATCCAAACGAACCTATGCCTGCTACAGTGTAAGCTGTCACCTGGCAGAAATTCATTTTTAAGTTGGAAAGGCAGACAGAATGACTATCCCGAAGACACATATAGAATGCGCGACGTGCTTATGTGCCGGAAGGAGCATCCACGTTTGACGCATGCGAAATGGAGATGCATCCCCGCAGAATTCCACACCAGCCGCCGAACAATAGCAAAGCGCTCCAGGCCTTTGCACTGGTCTGGAGGGAGGTCGCAAATTCACACCTCGTAACGTCATAACCCTCCAGTTGGGGTTTTGGGAGTTCTAGGCGCATGTTTGCACTGAATTCGCTGAATCACTGCTGCAACGTGCAAGGGAGATCAAAGGAGCAAACGCAGTGACTGTGGGCAAGCTTGATCCAGGCAATCGTTCATACACCACACGCTCATTGCACCAAGAGCGAAGCACCTAAGCACCACTTGATCGCAAAAAGAACCATTCTGCTGGTGCGGGTGCACAGGGCTCTGACCGGGAATCGAGCCCGCTGAGAGCGGCTTCCTGCACCCAAATCTAATTCTCGACAAGATTACAAAGCGAGCTGAGGCGCACGTCGTCGCATGTCCAAGCTCCAGGCTTGCTGAATTCACAGGCCGGAACTCGTCGGCCGCAACAATCCCAGCGTGGGGATGAGTCTGTACCTGGAGAGACGCACGACCCAAACGAACCAAGCGAACCAAAGGGACTTAAACATGAGCGACTTGCAGGTTAAAGGTCACAGAGACCAACTGCTCAACCTTTACTTTCTTCGCACCTGCCCGGAAGCGAAGCACTGCCACCGTTGCAGGTAAACGGTCTGTCCACCAGATGTTGTTGACTCAGATGCTGACATGGCTTTGCAGGAATCTGGGGTGTGACCACCTGCAGCGCAGAACGGGCAGCACCTGCAAATCCAACTTGTGCCCTAAGATTTCCTGTGTGACACACGCCTCTTTGCAACGCAGAGCCTCATCTGAACCTTCACAAACAGAGATGTCGCCTTCAGATGTTCTCCCATGCCATTTCCACCATGGCTTTAGAGCTTCCAACGGACTGGCCCCAGCCTCGCTTCCTCCGTGGCCTCTGGGTGAGGATGGTGAGGAGGACAGTGAGAACACTAAATGAGAGCATTGATGAGAACACTCTGATCAGAACACTCCGATGAGAACCCCTTTGTTAGACGGCTTTGAAAACTCTGCTTCTTGGTTTTTCAAAAGCTGGGACACAACACATCTTCACCAATCAACAGGTATTTCAACTGCAACGCGCCGCTCCTAGTATGCTCTCGAGATGGATTGCAACTTGGCAGATGGATCTCTCTCTTTCTTTTTTCTTTCTTTCCTTCCATGGCCTGCTGCTGAAGCCTGTTTATGCCAACGCTGCAGTAGTAGACGGGTTGATCGTGCGGGATTGAAGCAGGGCTGGGGGTATTTCTTTTGTGAAAACCATCCAGCATTCATTTGGAGCCAGCCACAAGTGAGAGGAGCTTGATTCAAGTCTGTGGTTCGTAGATGTTGCCTAGGGGGTGTTGTCGCTCTGATACAGCTCCGTTGGCGCCGCGCCGGGGAGAAGAGTCGTGGAAAGCACGGGGAGAAGTGGAAAGTGCCATCCGGGAATGAGGGCGCAAGAACAAAGAGGAAACCCCCATAGACAACTTCGAAGAGGGCCAAGCGCGCTCTACCAAGAATGGCTTCACAAAACCATCAGTGAGCATTATGGGAACGAAGCACAAACAACTGAAGCAGAAGTCGCAGGCGCCCCGCAAGACCAGGAAGTAGCGTGCCGCCAAGCTGAGGGACCACTTGAAGAGAAGGCAGAACAGCACTTGGGCTGCGTAGCGATGGTCCTCAACCCCAGGACAGTGGGGACCAGTAGCCACGAGTCTCCAACATCCTCCAGCTGAATGTCAAGGTCGCGGAGACACTCGCGGGCTTTCTCAAAATCTAACAACCGGTGGTCGAGTTGGACACGAGGACCTCTCCACACCTCCAACTCCTTTCAACGTGCACGCGAGAATGCACACAAGGCCAGGTGTGGATCTTCAGAGACGATGCGCAGACGATGTCCAGCGGCCTGGACGGGACATTGACCCGCATCCTGCCAGAGCTGGGTCGCCACGCAGAAGGTGCAGAAGCAGAAGGATCTATGCCAACAGGAGAGCGAAACCGAGCAACACTTTCCGTGGGGGACGAGCACCTCGAGGGGGCCACCGACGAGCAGGAGGACTGCCATCTGAACGCCGATGGGAAAACCATGGAGAATTCATTGACGACGAGCAAAAGGCACCACCCACGGACATGGACCTCAGCCGCGCGGACATGGACCACGGCAACCGAAAACAGCGAGTCGAAAACAGAGACGCGGTGGAGGATGCCCCGTTCGCTGGGGATGCACCATGGACCAGATGAACCATTCTCGTGCAGAAGATGGGTGGCGAGGGCACAAGTTTGGTGTGAATCAGCACAATCCCCAGCGGAACAACATGGACAAGGTGGACTCTACCTCCTCTTCTTCTTCTCGCTTGAGGAAACTATTCTTCTTCTGCTGGGCTTGAAGGAGGAAACTCTCTCTCTCTCTCTCGCTCTGGCTCTTGCTCTCGCGCTTTTGCTTTGCTTTGCTTTGCTTTGGGGCAGCTCGCTCTCTCTCTCTTTCTTTCTTTCTTTCGTTAGGGCCTGGGGCGAACCCCCTCTTTTGTGACACTCTGTTGTGCGGCACTCTCGAAAGACTCTTCACTTGTGGACACTCGCTTCCCAGGATGCTCTCCAGTTCGAGATTTCTTTTCGTGCACAATGCTCAAACTTTCCAATCGCTCAGTTTGACTTGCTGCACGCGCCGAGCATGCCCAGCCGCCAGCAGGCACCATCCAATCCCGTACACGAAACTAATTCCTGCAGCGGAGTGGCTCCATGAATGTCAGAGTTTAGTGTGCCAATGTGTGCCAACATGCATCTCTTTCTCTCTTTGTGGAGCAACCCTTGCCTGACATGATGTAGAAGCCTTAGCTTCGCTCCCGGCCGCGACCGGTGCGGCTACTGCTTGGAAGGGCAACTTACTGCAATGACACACGCAAGTGCATGAATCAAGCTAAAAAACCATCAGCTTTAACCAAACATCGGTCCGACGCGCATGTGGCAAAGTCAATTAGCTTCAGCGTGACGGTTCCCGGCCACATTCCTGAAGCTGCGCGCGGCTCTACCACCCTTGAAAAATGCTTATGATAAGTGTCATCTCTGCTTCGTCACTATTGTCAGGGTCTGCTGAGCCGGCCTCCCAGATTGCTCAGCGTATTGAGCATTGTCATGTACGTCCCGCCCATCGCAGGATCACTGATCCGCGCAAAGAAGGCCATGCTGGAGACAAACATGCACTGACTTGCAACCTCAGCTGATCTCCGTGAACTTATCTAGCATCTGACATCCCAAAGAGCTGACAGGATGCTTCCGGCACAAGGCAAGCAGCTTGCGCAAACAAGGAGACTGTAATGATCACAGTGTAGAAAGCCCATGGGATTCGATCTCCGATAGGGGGAGTTGAAGCCACCACAATGGCAGTCACAGGAACCTGGTCCACTGACAGCAGGATGTGAAGCGACTTTGAAACCCCGTAGCCACATCAAGACTGCCCCCGCAAGTGCAAACATCAAAGCAACCACCCAAGGACAGATTGCCATTGTCCGCATGTTAAAAATCGAAGCTCAAGCCGTCAACCATGCTCTGGGTGGCCGACCAGAAGAACTCTCCATGGATAGGTTTGCAGTAACAAGTCCCATGGTGTTGAGTTTGTCGTCCAGCGTGACACAACGGCTGGAAGCATGATATACACCTTTCGCAGGGCCAAGGTGACTTGAACTCTTGCTGGTACTATTGTTACCTGAAAAGATCGGGGAAGCGTCAAGTTTCGGCAAGGTGCCGGCATCATGCCCGATGCAATGTAGGCCATGTGCTCTTTCTTGACACCATACTCTTGCAGTTTCAACGGTGCAATACTGTCGGCCACTGCGAAGGGAAACTTGAGAGTAACCAAGAGCAGTAGCAGTACCCGAACTGGTCGCAGGCGAAGTATCTCAACCATATTGCGATAGGATGTTGCAATGCTCTCCTTAGCTGACTGCGAGACCAATTGTCTTGCAGCGTGATGCTTGTGCCTGTCGTTCTGAAGTTTCCACCGTTCTGCGGTCGTGCTTACGGTTCCAGGACATGTGTAGCTACTGCACCCAAAAGAGAAAAATCAAATGCCCTGCAACATCGGAGCAGGGTTCTGGCTCTTCATCTCGCGGCACGGAGCCTTCAGACTTCAGCATGCCGACCAGCATCGTCACCGCCTCAGCGTCCCAGCACAGTGAGGGGTGTTGGGGCTACTACCGGCTACAGCTGAAACATGCGAACCATAGGCATCACCAAGCTGCTATGAAAACCACGCCCCAAAGAAACATGAATTCGGACAGGGTTATCAGATTGAAGTGCTCCAGGGCCATGAACCCAGTGAAGCCCATGGCCTCACGGATTCACAGCAGCGTCCCATAGGAAGCGTAGGACAAAAGCATGTGTCCTTCATCCGAACATGCAGAACTCTTCTTTGGCCACGTGGCATAGCCGAGGGTCTGACCCATGGCGTTGGTCGTGGCAGCGTAGCCCACGTTCTCCTTTCGCAGTATCGTTAGAGCCCATCCATCCACGGCAATGTCCTGCATTTCAGATCCAGATTAATGATGCTGGCATGGGGAGGGTGCCAAGGTGCCTGAGTGGCGCAAAGGAAATACAGCAGGAAGAAAAGGGCAGTGAGCGAAGCAACATTCGGCTGCTCAGCCTCAGGTCGCTTGCGAGGCTTGCGAGGCTTGCGAGGCGTGGCGAGGCGTGGCGAGGCGTGCGAGACTCGCGAGGCTTGCGAGGCCTGAAGCCTGAAATCTGACCACAGTTTGCGCCACGTTTCGTAGAGAAGGCGGTCCAGACTTTGTGAAACCACGATCATGACCTCGTTCTGTGGTGTATGACTTCACAGCAAAACTAGCCCAGGTGGCACGGCAGCTACTCAGATACCGGCCGGACCTCCATTACTACCTTCTAAGCCCCTGACAAGTCCTATTGCCAACTGCGTTGGCAGAAGCCATGTCTTCCTCAGCCCAAGTCCAAATGGCACAGCACACAAACGCAAACACATTCGTCGCGACCCCGCCCGAAACTCCCGAAGCGAATGCCAAATATGGTACCGCCTTTACTGCAAGGCAATTTTGCAATGGCGCTGGTGCGTGCAGCATCTCCCCACAAAGGGGCTCGAAAACAACAGCAAAAAGTTCGAAAAGCGTTGAAATGAGCATCCCTTAGAAATGTCGATACATGTATACATATATACATGTATATGTATGTGTATATATATATATACAGATAGACAGAGAGGAATATCTATATATGGAGAAATACAGATTTGGCAGTTGATCAAACTTACACTGTCCCGGAAACGTAACTTTCGCCAAAACTAAATTTCTTTTCGCGGAACTTTAGGGCGCCTAATGGAGCGCACTCCTGAACCCTAAGACCTATGATCACATCCACGGCGCCTAATTACGTACTACAGCTACGCACATACACTTCTTGAGCAGATGTCACGTGGGCTGCGGCGACGTGCACACCCTCTTCGCGGATCTTTCGAGGACACTTCTAGATCCTTGAGATGTAGGTTTTATGTAAATTCCTTACAAGGACCTTGTGATCAACACCCATTTACAGGTCACAACCCACCACGACGTTTGCGACGCGGAGCCCAGACTGCACGGGTGATCGGAGCTTTGGTGGACTGACAGACTGACAGTTCCGTGCCTCCTCCCAAGTCTGGAGAAGTAGACGGCGTCCACAATCGGGGCCCAAAGCAGCTTTAAGCCTTGGAGCACAGTGACGAAAGTGTAAGACAAGTGTGAGGAAAGTGCACACAATCGATTGTTTAAAAATCCGATAACACGAATGTCTTGCTGCAGCTCACTTGTCAATAGGCTTCACGCTGAATGGATAGGAATTCAACGAGAAGGTTCCCAAGTCCGCATATGAGACCTTCTGCTCCTGAATCAGCCCACCCTAAGTGTCCTAGCTTCAGTGGGCCACGGTCTGGGAACGATCGCCGACGACACTTGCACTAAACAGGCCACACCGCAGACATTGCAGCCGGCTATGACCTCGCACAAGAAAGCCCTTCCTTAAGCTGCCTTCGGAATCCCCGGACATTGAGTCCTTGAGGATCAGCGGCACAACTCCGGACAGACCCATCGGGATGCCCTTCATGACAGCACACGCGTTCGTCTTACATAGTCAGGGCACCTATATTAACGACATATATATATATGGTCACCCCCCCCCCCTCGACAGACCCCGGAAGCGAAAATCCGATCTGTCCAGGAAGCGGGGGGGGGGGGGGGGGGGAAGAGCACCACTCCAAAATTCCTCGAGTTTCCAAAAATCCAAAACTCCAAAAAAACCCAACCCAAGTTTCGGATTTTTGGAAACTCGAGGAATTTGCTCAAAATCCAAAAAAAACCCAAAATTCCTCGAGTTTCCAAAATCCAAAAATCCAAAAATCCCAACCCAAGTTTCGGATTTTTGGAAACTCGAGGAATTTGCTCAAAATCCAAAAAAAACCCAAAATTCCTCGAGTTTCCAAAAATCCAAAAATCCAAAAATCCCAACCCCAGTTTCGGATTTTTGGAAACTCGAGGAATTTGCTCAAAATCCAAAAAAACCCAAAATTCCTCGAGTTTCCAAAAATCCAAAAATCCAAAAATCCCAACCCAAGTTTCGGATTTTTGGAAACTCGAGGAATTTGCTCAACATCCAAAAAAACCCAAAATTCCTCGAGTTTCCAAAAATCCGAAACTGGGGCTGGGATTTTTGGATTTTTGGAATTTTGGAAACTCGAGGAATTTTGGGCTTTTTTGGATTTTGAGCAAATTCCTCGAGTTTCCAAAAATCCGAAACTGGGGTTGGGGTTTTTGGATTTTTGGAATTTTGGAAACTCGAGGAATTTTGGGTTTTTTTGGATTTCGAGGCTCCCGCTCGAGTTTCTAAAAATCCAAACCTTGGGGTGGAGTTTTTGGATTTTGGAAGTTTTGGAAACTCGAGGAATTTTGGGTTTTTTTGGATTTTGAGCAAATTCCTCGAGTTTCCAAAAATCCGAAACTGGGGTTGGGATTTTTGGATTTTTGGAATTTTGGAAACTCGAGGAATTTTGGGTCTTTTTGGATTTTGAGCAAATTCCTCGAGTTTCCAAAAATCCGAAACTTGGGTTGGGATTTTTGGATTTTTGGAATTTTGGAAACTCGAGGAATTTTGGGTTTTTTTGGATTTTGATCAAATTCCTCGAGTTTCCAAAAATCCGAAACTTGGGTTGGAATTTTGGATTTTTGGAAACTCAGGTTTTGGTGAGATTCTTTTAGGGGTTCTACACTCATGAGAAATATGAAATTGGAAACTCGAGCGGGAGCCTCAAAATCAAAAAATCGAGCAAATTCCTCGAGTTTCCAAAATTCCAAACCTTGGGGTGGATTTTTTTGGATTTTTGGAATTTTGGAAACTCGAGGAATTTGCTCGATTTTTGGATTTTGAGGCTCCCGCTCGAGTTTCCAAAAATCCAAACCTTTGGGGTGGATGTTTGGATGTTTGGATTTTTGGATTTTTAGAAACTGGATTTTTGATAAGAGTTTTTCAGGGGTTCTTATATGATTCCTTATTATGTTTTAGGCTGCCTATTAAATTTAATAATACTCCTGTTCACTTTAACGGGAGTCCTTATTTAATTAACAAGACTCCTAATCATTTTACTAGCATTCTAAGTGATTTTCAATGGCAATGGGATTCCTGTATTTGTTTAATGGGGTTCGTATTAGATTTTAAAGGATGCCTGTTAAAGGACTTTATTGGGTTTAATATTGATTCCTATTCATTTTAATCAAATGCCAAATAATTGGAATACGATTCTGAGTAATTGTAATAACATTCTTCTTCCTAGTTAGTTTTAATAAAAGTCTTAGAAATTTAAAAAGCTTCATAACAAATTTTATACATATTCCTATTAATTTCAATAGGCTTCTTATTCATTTTCATAAGATGTCTTACAATTTCTAACTGGGTTCCTTTTGCTTTGACAAGCTTCCTATTCATTTAAAAAGGCTTCTGATTAATTGGAATAGGCTTCGTATTCATTTTAACAGGGTTGCTCATTCATGTTGACAGGATTCCTAATCATGTTCATAGGATTCCTACTAGATTCCACAGTGCTCCGATTATATTTTTAAATCCTGTTCCCTATTCATTTCAATTGGACTCGAAGTAATGTTATTGTAACTCTCATTTGTTTTTTTAGCAATCCTGTTAATTAAATGTTTTAATAGTGTTTATTATCATTCTAACAGTACGACTCTTAGTGTTTTAAGTTTTGAAGGGTCCACATTACTTTTTTTATAGAATTTTATTGGCTCCTCTTAATCCTTTAAAAGGATTCATCTTCATGTCACACGGATTCCTGTTACTCTTAAAGAGAATTCATAGATTCTTTTGTAGGGTTCCTATTAATTTTAATAGCATTCCTATGAATTCAAAAGGGTTCCTATTCATTTGAATGGCCTTCCTATGGTTCCTCTGAATTTAGGACGCCAAGAAATTTTAATAGGAGCTTCTACGTATTTCAACCAGGTTCTTATTAATTGTACTAGGATTCTTACTAAGTTTTCAAAAAAGACTCGTCTTAATTTCAATAGGGTTCTCATTCATTTTAATGGGGTTCCTATTGATTTAAATAGGATTCCTATTGAACTCATACGAAGCCTATGAATCCTAATAAACTTAATAGGAACCCAAGTAAAACTAAGAGCAACCTTATTAAAATTAATAGCAATCCACGATGTCGAGCAAATTGTTCAGGTCCTTACAGCATGCGTCCTTCTCACATCTGTCTGCATCTTTCATTGCGAACACAAAGCCGTACTAATCGAAAAAAATATGCTCTATTGTGTGTTAACGTGTCTGGCTACTGTGTGCAGCTATGCTGTCCGTCGCGCCCTCAGCCTTTTTTTCGCTTCCGGGGTCTGTCGAGGGGGGGGGGGTGAGCATATATATATATAGATACATACCTATATGCACATATATATATATACATATCCATATATATATATATATATGCTCACCCCCCCCTACGACAGACGCCGGAAGCGAAAAAAAGGCTACGGACAGCATAGCTGCACACAGCAGCCAGACACGTTAACAAACAATAGATATATACATTACCTCCCCCCCCCAAAAAAAAACACGTCTCCATATGCTCTTCCCTGAAGTCCGACAGATCGGCCTGCCAGTTTGGTCATGGTAGGGTTTTACTAATTCATTAAATATTTACTCAACTTCACAGATTTGTCTACCGTAATTGATTTCAAACACTTTCGTTAACTTCGTTGATTCCAAAAAGCTTAATTCACATAATTTGATCCACTCAGCAATTGCTCGAGCGAGTGCTCAAACAGAAGTGACCTGAACAATTTGCTGGACATCGTGGATTGCTATTAATTTCAATAAGATTGCTGTTAGTTTTACTTGGGTTCCTATTAAATTTAATAGGATTCATAGGGTTCGTATGAGTTCAATAGGAATCCCATTTAAATCAATGGGAAACCCATTAAAATGAATGAGAACCCTATTGAAATTGAGACGAGTCTTTTGTGAAAACTTAGTAAGAATCCTAGTACAATCAATAAGAACCTGGTTGCAATATGTAGAAGCTTATTAAATTAACAGGGCTCCTATTAAATTTTCTTGGAGTCCTAAATTCAGAGGAATCATAGGAAGGCCATTGAAATGAATAGGAACCCTTTTGAATTCATAGGAATGCTATTAAAATCAATAGGAACCCTACAAAAGAATCTATGAATTCTTTTAAGAGTAACAGGAATCCGTTTAACATGAAGATGAATCCTATTAAAAGATTAAGAGGAGCCAATAAAAAATTCTATGAAAAAAGTAACGTGGACGCTTTAAAACTTGAAACAATAAGAGTCGTACTGTTAGACGTATGATGAACCCTATTAAAACTTTTAATAAATAGGATTGCTAATAAAATTAATAAGAGTTACAATAACATTACTTCGAGTCCAAGTGAAATGAATAGGGAACAGGATTTAAAGCATAATCGGAGCACTGTGGAATCTAGTAGGAATCCTATGAACATTACAGGAATCCTGTCAACATGAATGAGAAACCCTGCTAAAATGAATACGAAGCCTATTCTAATTAATCAGAAGCCTTTTTACATGAATAGGAAGCTTGTCAAAGCAAACGGAATCCAATGAGAAATTGTACGACATCTTATGAAAATGAACAAGAAGCCTATTGACATTAATAGGAATATGTTTAAAGTTTGTTATGATGCTTATTAAAATTCTTAGGCTAATTTATTTAAAACTTTTTTTAAAACTAACTAGGAATAAGAATGCTATTAAAATGACTCAGAATCGTATTCAAATTACTTGGCATTTGAGTAAAATGAATAGGAATCAATCTTAAACCCAATAAAGCCCTTTAATAGGCATCCTTTAAAATTCAATACGAACCTCATTAAACAAATACAGGAACCCTATTGAAAATCACTTTGAATGCTAGTAAAATGATTAGGAATCTTATTCATTAAATAAGGACCCCCATTAAAGTGAACAGGAGTATTATAAAATTGAATAGGCAGCCTAAATCATAATAAGGAATCATATAAGAACCCCTGAAAAAATCTTATCCAAACTCCAGTTTCCAAAATTCCAAAAATCCAAAAATCCACCCCAAAGGTTTGGATTTTTGGAAACTCGAACGGGAGCCTCAAAATCCAAAAATCGAGCAAATTCCTCGAGTTTCCAAAATTCCAAAAATCCAAAAAAAAACCCCAAGGTTTGGAGTTTTGGAAACTCGAGGAATTTGCTCGATTTTTGGATTTTGACGCTCCCGCTCGAGTTTCCAAAAATCCGAAACTTGGGTTGGAATTTTTGGATTTTTGGAATTTTGGAAACTCGAGGAATTTGCTCGATTTTTGGATTTTGAGGCTCCCGCTCGAGTTTCCAAAAATCCGAAACTTGGGTTGGAATTTTTGGAATTTTGGAAACTCGAGGAATTTGCTCGATTTTTGGATTTTGAGGCTCCCGCTCGAGTTTCCAAAAATCCGAAACTTGGGTTGGAATTTTTGGAATTTTGGAAAGTCGAGGAATTTGCTCGATTTTTGGATTTTAAGGCTCCCGCTCGAGTTTCCAAAA